TGGTGTGTGTTCAACAAATACTTGAACAAATGAATAAATAAAGGAATGAATCACTTGCCCAACTGAGCTCCTGACTTCAGTCCCTAACACCCTTCCTTTTATGGAAGAGAAAGACTATCTCACCTGGGTAAGAGTACATGACCCTAGGCAGCTCGGGAGGCAGTTCCAGGAGCCAGCAGGTAAGCGCAGAGGCCCAGGGCCCCAGAAATGCCCCTCAGGAGAGGCTCATCCCAGCGTCAGAAGCCCAGCTGCATCCAGCCTGGCGATGTCAGGCATCCCAACCCAGGGAAGTTGAGGACCAGACTTCCTCGGAGCTGTCCAGACTAGCCAGGCGAGACTCTGCATCCTTCCTGTAAGAGGAAGCCAGCCTGGAATTGGGTCAGAGCCTGCCATGGGTTCTGTCCTCCGAATGGCCCTGTGGGCAGAGCCTTGCAGCCTAAGACACTGAGTGACTTGAGCCTTTGGGGGCAGGGGAGGCCTCTTAGGATCACAAATGGCTCTCCATCTGGATAAGCACAACTTCCACGTTCGCTGCCATTCTGAAACCAACGTCTGGTCCTCTTCCCTTACAGCTCCCACTCAGCTGGACCAGCATAAGGCCTGTGAGAGCGACCTTTGTTACAGAGGAACCTAAGTTAGTGAACGGTTCCTAAGGAGAGCTCTCCGACAGGTCCACGGCTTAGGTGGGGGTCAGGGTGGGGGAATGAGAACAGGAGCTGTTAGGACAGTCTGTTTCTCACAGCTCAGGTGACACTGACCCTCACCCAGCTTTGCCCAGAATCTACACAGAAGAGGTACCATGAGTTTTCAAGAAAGAGACCCCAAAGCCTGGCCCAGGAGCATCGGTGACCTTTTCCAAATATTACCCCTGGGTAATATTTCCTTTCAGAGGTGCCCAGCGCAGCCCCAGAGCGTCCCATGTCACCACGAGTGCAGGCCCCACCAGCAGTTTAGGGAAGACTGTTCCCCTAAACCAGCCCCCGTGTCTGAGGTTGGAGCAGCTTCCATGGCAAAGAAGAGAGGAAACAATGCGCTTTATAAAGAACCATATTTATTTTCATTTACAGCATCAAATACCATAAATAAAGCTAAACATCATTTGCTGTGTGCAAAATACAGGGTCCCGTGTGGCACTATAAAGGACTATCAGAGGTCGCAGACATGCGTTGCGAGGAGATGGGGGGGGCTAGCTCAAGAGAAGGCTGAGAGGGAAGGAGGGCCCTCTCTGGTTGACATTCTATAAAGGGAGGGAGACGCTGCAAGAGAAACGAGACAAGAGCGATGACTTTGTACTGGCTGGACTCTGCACCGGTGCCGTGAGCAACGCAGCATGCAGGGTTGTGCGGACAGGACGGAGGTCAGCATGGCTCCGGGCCACATGCGGGACAGACGTCACCTTCTGCCCGAGACCCCGAGGCCCGGCGCCCAGCAGCTCCACCGGACTCGGCACGGCGCCTCTCTCTCTAAAAGCACTTTGACCGTCCTGCTGCTCCAAGTAATGAGTCAGCGGGCACATGTCGTCTGAGCAGAGCCACGGAGGCATGGACACCAGGCCCGGGCTGAGCGCAGTCATGTCTCAACAGCCACCCCCGGCCTGGGACAATGATTGCTCCAGTGGAAGCTTCTGCATCATCTGGGGCATTATGAGCCAAGAACAGTAAGAAGAGCCACAGCAAAGCCCTTGTGTCTAAAGTAAAGGCTGTGGTAGAGAAAGGATTTGCCAGGAACATTGTGATTGTGTGTTCAAAACACAAAGCATGGGTCAAGCCTGTGATGAAGGCTGGGAGCATTTTTTCTTTTTAAACCCTTCCCAAAAGAGTCCCCCATGGTTTTGATCAATAATCTTTATACTAGAATCAATTTAAGAACTCTTTGTTTGCATGAACTTTCTCAGCAGCTACTCGACCCAAGTTCTTTTGCAAGGCGACAGAGCCCTCTCTGGTGTTCTGTCTCACCACCGGGGGAACCGTCCCAGGAAGGTAAGCGGTTTCGCAAGGGCAGAGGTATGCATGCAGGCTGCTCGGGGAGCCGCAGGGAGGCAGGGCATGCAACCGGTGTAGACCTGGCGACCGGCTCAGAGGTAAGTAGAGTCAAACATGGCTTTCGAGCGGAACACCACCCCACGTTGCTAAACCCCATGCCATGGAATGAGTCCGTTAGTATGCAAGACGCTCGCAGTCAGCACAACCAGGACCACGGTGCGGAGGTTGGGGCGCGGAGAGCACGTTAGGCATTAGTACCTCTCTCTGAAAATTGGCAAGAAAACCAGTCACCTCCGAGCAGAAGTGTGTCAGCCAAGAAGTGGGTGTAGCACTGGAAGGCTGAAATGAACTGGTAGCCACAGTGTAAGGTTGGAAAGAGAGAGACAGAAAGGAGAATTTAGTTCGGGGCGGGGGCAGGGCGGGGGAGGAAAAAAGACTGATAACACAAAAGGCACTGGAGTTGAAGATGAGGCCACCGTTGATAAAAGGGGAACTTCCCCGAACAAATCACTGCTTGCTTGGGACAGATAAACCTTTCTGGTAGTGACCGCCTACTCACGTACAAGAGTGGATGCGGGCAGTTGGCCTAGGCCAAAGCCCTCCCCTTGGAGAGACACGCGTCCTCAGGACCCCCTGCCCCCCACCCCGATATCTCTTTTCCCCAGTTTCACTCCCGTGTCCCACACTCATTCTTGCATATGCTGTGGAGGCCAAGGGGCGTCTCCCTCCTGGGATCCACCATGCATTTCGGTTCTGCCCACCAGGAAGGTTCACAGCCTCAAAACATACAAACATCTCAGGCTTCTGACAGGCACACCCTGTCTCCCCAGAATAATTCAAACCAGTCTCTTTATGGCCATAAACGACGTTCTCCGAGAGTCTAACTCTGGCTTCGTGGAGCGCTCCACAAAGCTTCTCAGCCCACCCTGAGCTGAAGACAGGAGCAGTGACATGGCTGTGCATGTGTTCACGTCATGACCTCAAGAATTTCCTTTTAGACTCAAACATAGCATGAATCCAGGGCTCCTCCCACCACGCTGAATATTAAAATTCCAGCAAAAATTTGGAAAACCCCAACGCAAGTCGTCAGACTGAGAACGGTTCCAACGAGGACAGAGGTGTCAGTTCCCATGGGCTGGGCCACACAGCCCGGCCCCTCTTTTCTCTAAGGACTTCAAGAAGGGTTTGTAGAAATGCCTCTCCCCTTCGTCCTGCCCTATAGAAACTTGTCGTCTCCAAGCTCTTGAGCGCCCTGGCTCTTAACGCACCCCAGGTTCCATCTTCCCTTAATCTAGAGGAGATCTCTAGTGTCACAAGTGCACACAGCCATCTCCAGCCTGGCAGCTCTAGATATCCTGAGCATGTTGGAAGGCCTCTGCCTTGTTCAAGCAGACCCAGCAGTGGCACACGTCCGGGCAGAGCAGGGTGCGGGAAGGGGAGGCCTCCCCCAGAAGCCCAGAGTGAAGAACACAGGTAGGCCCAAGGCCTGTTTTTGCCCTTAATAGGGCATATTTCTTTTGTATCAGTCAAGAAACAGCTTCCAATCTCTGCCTCCCCTGCCAGTCAAGACACAGGAGGTCAGACTCAGACACATTCCTTTGCTAGGACAGTGTGAAAACAAATGGTTTTTGACTGCTCTGACCAACATGCATGGCAGCTGAGGGGCTAAGCAGCCAGGATGTCTGTAAGCAGAGCTCCTCGGGTAGGTCACGCTTCCCAGAAATCCTATACCCTGAGGTGCTAACAAACGGCCTCAGTCCCAAAGCATGTGATACGAGAGGGCAGATTCTTCCCTCAGCCTGACCGTTATGGACCCTGAGTGGCCTTGGCTCAGTCTGCAGCCTGGGCTGAGGACCGGATGGGGGGCCCCAGGTGGGGGGATGGGCACAGCTCCTCTCCTGCAATGCACCAGCTCACCAGAGCTCTGCTCCGCCAGGGGCCACGGGGCCTCGCAGGCACTGCTCGTTAATGGGAAGGGACAGTGTATGTTTGTAGCAATCTGCAGGAAACCCCACGGTCATTTGGCTGGTGATGAGGGGAAAAATCTTTAAGCTACTAATTTTACATCAAAACAAGGGTGCAAAACAGTCCCCTTCCCTGTGGGAGGGCAGATCACAGCCGACTACATACTGCCGTGTGTCTCCGTATGGTTTAATTCTACTCTGATCGACTCTTTTCTTCTAAACTGCTGATGCTTTCGTGGTGCCAAAACACTGTCCCCTGTGGACAAGTGGCATCAGGGTACACACAGCAAAAGGCACTGGTCAGGAGGTGGCACACTCGCTTCTGTTTCTATAAAAAGCCCAAATCATTAGTGTCATGGGCAGCGACCATGACCATGGACCACACTGTAGAAGGGATTCGTGACACCAGTTACAAACTTCAAACCGTGTTTAGAAAAACTGACACTCATAGGGAAAAAAAATGCTTTCTCTTGGCTTATTAAAAGTTTTAAAAATTGAAATGTAAACCTAGAACTATGGCTCGCTTTGGTATAAAAGAAGTACAAAGCTATAAAAAACATCCTTCATGTCGTCTGGCCCCAGCACCAGGAGCAGATGTCCACCCTGACAGAGTCAGGTGCGGGTGGCCAGTGTGAAACTCTTTGGCTTTGAGCGAATTGGCGAGAGAATGCTAGGCTTCCCGGCCAGACCCTTGGCTAACTGCCAACACGCTGCCGTCTAAACTGGAAATGTGAGGGCACTTTGGGGTGGTTGGCATTTCAGTGGAGCTTCACCGGGAAGCATCTGAGCACCCAGTTGCGGATGGTCTCCAAGGACTCCTCAGACTCCCGGTACATGGAAGCCAGGACCTCAGAGAACACCCAGAGGAGGGGCAGCCCGAGGCTCAGGAGCTCGTAAGTGTAGCAGTAGTTATAAGCATTGTCCCTGAAATGCAGTCCGGCTGCACGCAGGAGTCCCCGAATCCAGTTAAGCAGGCTCCGGGGAACGTGAAGCAGGCCCCAGGGCAGCACGAGGGGCCAGCTTAGCGCCTTCCTAAAGAAGGAACTGGTGATACCTGGAGGGCTGCCTTCGGGCGTGCCAATAGCAGCAACTGCGCAAGAACTTTCCACGGGAGTGTCTCGCCGAGGGGCCTCTGGCTCTTTCCACGGTCCCTCCTCCTAAGAGAGGGAGCAGAGGAAGGGCATTTAGTCCATGATTCTCACAGAGCACCCTCCGAGGAAGCAGATGAAGAGAGCCAACACAAACGGACCGTGGCAGACCCTGCATTTTGCAACCAGCCCCCCAAATAATAGCCCCTGTGCACTGCTGAAGGGGGATTGAATATGGGCATCGCTTTTCCGGGGCCAACGTGACCACAGGGTTCACAGACCTTCAAAACACACGTCCTTAAAAAACAACAACAACAACAACGAACGTATGTCCTTTGACTCAGAAATTCTATTTCTAATGATCTGTCCTCAGGAAATAATTTGAAACAGGGACCAAGATGTGCATACAAAGATGCTGGCTGTGAAAATAGTTGTAAGGTAAAAACAGGACACAGCATAAACATTCAGCAACATGGGACTTGTTAAATAAATTATTAATCATCTTTTATAGGCATCAAAAATGATGCTCCAAAAGAATTTTTAATGTTATGGGGAACGGTTCTTGGTATACTGCCAGTAAATAAAAAAAAAGGATATGAAAGTGTAATTACTGGATTCCAACTAGGTTAAAAGACATTCACATAGGGCGATGTCACAAAATGTTAGTTATGGGTTTCTCAGAATAGGGTGGTGATGATTTAACTTTCCTTCTTTACATACTTCATTTACCCATTTTTCTACATTAAGCCTCTATGATTCATATAACCTGAAAAGAGCTGTATGGTGTGGGTCCTTGCTGGAGGGGGTGGTTAATCAAGCGGCAGAGAAGGTGTGTGCTAAGAGCTGCGGGAAGGGACGCTATCACCAATCGTCCATACGTTCAGCATCCTGTCACTTTGTTGACATACAAGAGACTGGGGTGGGGGGGGGGATGAGGGAAAGGTAGGCTCCCCAAGAGGCATCCCTGCAAACAACACTGTGGTCACTTGGGACCCAGGCGTGGGGGACCCTGTGGTTTCCATATGGCTGGGACTTTAGTCCCATCCCTGGGACGCGGGAAGGCCCTTCTCAGAAGAAGCCAGCACCGCCGCTCACCAGGCAGCTGGCCTCCAGAATGGGATAAACCTAGAGGCTGGCACAACAGGCTAAGGCAGAGAGACCCTCCACGCCACACGCACAGTACGGACTCTCGGCTTTACCTGTGGGTCTCAGCCCCTCCAGGGCCGGAAATTCTGGCCTCACTTGGAGGGACCTTTGAAAACGGTCTCCAATCCAGGGGCCGTCCCTGTTTCAACAGCACTTTCAGGAGGAAAGCATACCTCTCTTTGTTGCTTCAGCTCTGCTCGTCTCTTCCTTTGCTGACTGTTGGTCTTACAGTGAATGAAATGAGGCTTGCAGAAAAACTTGCCTGTAAAAAGAAACACGTGCACACTTGCATGCATGGGTTTTCTCCTGTAAATTAGGGTCACAGCAGATACAAGCCAACTTCTGCCCCTGTCTAGGTCAGGGAATGCCAATATTGGGAGTAAGCCCAGGAGGCCTCAAACTTGCTTTCTGTCACCTGTCTTAAAGAAGCCACACTCAGACGAGGTAGCAGGACCCTTTGTTGCCTCAGAGGCAGGCTGTAGCAATCGAGGGGGCGGGATGCCGGGGTTGGGGCTGAAGCCCTCAGATAATCCCTAAGCCAAACCGAGGCCAAGTCCCTTCCCAAGGCCAGCTGCCAGGCTGCAGAATGGACAGCTCTGAATATCAGCACTGTTTCCAGTTTGCGGTCCTTCCTGGGGCCCCTGGGGGTGGGAAAGGCTCAGAACAAATGGTAGCAGTGATGGAGAGGAGAAGACCCAGGTGAAGTCTGCCCTGGGTCCCTGGCCATGGCCCAGGACCACTGGGCACCTTCCAGAAAAGCCTTCTTCATTCACTGTTACTAAAGTAACCTCAGGAACAATGGTACAACATGAAAAACTTATCCAGGACTCACAATAGAGCAGGCACTACTCTGAATGCTTCCCGTGAATTAATTCACATGAACAACCTTGCCACAACCTTATGAGCTAAGAACTATTATTATCCTCATTTTACAGATGACATAACGGAGGGACCAAGAGGTTAGGTAACAGGCCCAAGGTTACGGGGCTAGTTAATGGTTCATTCTGGCAGGCTGCTTCTCAGAGGGGAGGCTGCTATTATGACCACTTTTGTAAGACACACTTTGTAAATAAAAACATTAATACATCATCATTTATCGAACCCTTGTTACAAGCCAGGTGTGGTGACAAGCGTGGTATTAGGTCGCCAGGTGTGATTTCCTTGCCCACACGGGGCCATGGAAGGTGGGGATGCTGGCGAGGACACGTATGTAAAGCACTCGGCACACAGCAGGTGCTGCTGCTGCTGGTATACAGCAGGCGCTCACCGCCTCCCCGGGCCCGCCGGAGGTGGCCTCTCTCTCCAGCAGGATCTCCCAGCTCCCAGAACAGCTCTCCCGGGGATGCCACAGTCCCTGGGAAGCGGTGGGGTGCCCCAGAGCCTCCAGAGGACAGGAGCCCAGACCGGAGACCCTGGCGCTGTCCCCGGCTGCTGGGAGTTACCTTCGTCACTGTCGAAGGCATAGGCGGCCAGGCGCAGGGTGGTGGCGCAGATGCTGCAGCGGAAACACTCTCGGTGGAAGAAGTGGCCCTCGGCGCTCAGCCGCTCCATCACGTACACGCGCTTCTTGCAGAAGTGACAGGTGTCGCTGCCGCCCAGGTTCAGGGGGAACACCTTCCGCATGGATTCCTGGGGGGCACAGGGCAGCAGGAGAGAAGCGCCGCGCGTCAGGGCTGACCCCGCATCTCGCGGTGCGAGGCCGAGACTCTTGGAAAATCTTGGCCTCGATCATGGGGACCTCGTGGGCTCCTGTCTGCTGCCCATGGCACTGCAGGCACGGCAGCCGAGACTGAGCGGTGGGAGGATACGCCCCCAGCACAGACCCCAACGACCCCACCCCGCACGGGCTCCCAGGCAGGCCAGGTGGCGACAGGGGAGGCCCAGGAGGGGCTCCTCCCGAGGCCGGCCGCTCCAGTTTGGGGGCGGGAGTGGCGTCTCTCTGTCTGACACAGTGGGCATCCCTCACCAACGTGCCTGCCCAGCAACGCTGGCTCCCGCCAGAATCTGCCTGCCTCTAGGGTGAGGTCCCCGAAAGAATGTTTTCCACACCCCTGTCCCCCCTGCAGTGACTTAGGCCAGGCAAGGAAAGCCTGTGGCAGCCAAACTGTTGAAGAGTACTGCAGGACAGGGACAGGCTGTGTCCTCTAGCCCCCGGGGCTGCCAGGCAAATTCCTAAATGCAAGGGAGGAGGATGAGGGCCAGGCAGCGGTGCACCTGGGGGATTCTAGGGCTGGGGGGACATGTCAAAAGGAAAGCAAAAGAATGTCCAGTCAGATGGCCGGTGACCGCAGCAGGCAGCCTTGTTTGGAGAAGGGAGAATTCAGCGGGAAGAGTATCTCTCTGTTACTGGATCCTCTGTCCAGTGCAAAAGGGCTACTTGGGCGGGACGCCAAATGCTGAGGGTAAGGGGTGGCCTGCCTGGCCTTTTCACTGAGCTCACCAGACAGCAGGGGACAGGCTCTGCCTTGTGAAATGACCTATGGGGAGCCAAGTGAGGTTTGTCGGCCAGAAAACGCAGCCCTCCCTCTAACCTTGGCACCGGTCTACCCCACTGTCACGCCTCCTGTCCATGAGAAGGGGGCCTCGCGTGGACCAGGCCATCCTCCCTGGGAGACCAGAGCCGGTGTCTGTGGGTGAAGGCTGAGGGGTGTGCGTCCTTACCAGGTCTGGAGAGGTGGCCTGGGTCTTAGGTCTGTGATCATTCATGTACAGATTGACCAGGACTTCAGCTGCAGCCCCTATTCCGCTGGACACTTTCCCTACCGTCAGCTACCCAAGAGCAGAGGTAGAGGAGGCAGAGACAAAGACAGAGGCCAGTTAGCACTGAGACGGAAAGCGCAAACAGGCTGGAGGTGGGACAGGGCTCCACACCCACATGCAAACAGCGCCCGACGTCCCAGGAGAGGCAAAACCAGCCTGGAGAGGGCAGCGGGCACTCTGGAGACAGACAGGACAGAAATGGAACGCTGGGGCCCGGGGTGAGCCAGGTGACTTGTAGAACTAGCTCCGTCGGCATGCAAGGCCTTCAGGACTCGTCGAGTTTCTTGGTTCACAGATGGGGTAAATGAATCCCGGAGACAGGAAGGGAGCTATCCCAGGCCACTTAGCAAATACGTGTGAGATTCAGAGCTCTTCTCAGGTCTCCTGAGCCCCAGCCCAGATGCCCTCACACCCTAAGGAGCCAGGACCTCACGGACAGACAGCTGAACGGCAGCCACCCTCCCATAGAGATCCCTCCTCTTTGGAGGGCTGTGAGATGCTGCTTCACCTGCTTCGTGAGCAGTACCTGCCCCCCGGACTGGAATGAAGGGTTGGACCCCAGCTCCACCATGAACCAGTTCTGAGACTGGGCACAAAACTCTCAACTTCTGAGCTCAGTTTCCTTGTTTAGTAGGATGGGGGAGATCGTGCCTGCCTCATGGTTGTGTGGTAAGAACTGAGGGAGAGAATGGGTGTTCAAGCGCCTGGCGCTTGGCGGGGCTAGGCCAGGATGAACTAGACTCCTCCCTCCCTGTTTCCCGAGTACAGCCGGTCCCAGCCTGCCTTGCAGCCTCCACACCCCTGGGGTGTGATGGTGGTGTCTGACCTGAGTGCCCCCCAGACCTACAGAAGCAGTGACTAGAACGGGAGTGAGGAGGCAACAGGATGGCACTCCACCACATGCACCAGGTTGCAGTGCCCAGAGGCCCCAGGCTGATGCTGGCAAGTCAGCTCCATGGGGGCCCTGGGCACCACTGCCTGGCAGGTGCACAGGTGCCTGTGCTCTGGAGGGCATGACGTCCACCCCCAACCTGTGAGTGTCCGGTTCCCCATCCACGTGTCTGGGAGCTGGGGCAGGGGTGGAGCTGACAGCCCACGCAGACATGGCACAATCACCCAGATACCCCCACAAATCCCACCTAGCTCCCCCTTTCCCACCAGCTATGAAAGCCACCCTGGGAACACTGCAGTCTCCTCTTCAGGGAGGCACACACCATAGGAAGGGATTCTGTAAGCAGTTTCTGGTCCCAGGATCTGGGAAGAAGGCAGGCTCCAGACCCTGCCCAGCCTCAGAATCTAGCTTCTGGGAAGTGCAGCCAGAGAGAACAGTGGCATAGGTGGGTGGGTGTGGTTGAAGGAACACCCTCAATCTAAACCCAGGACTCCTGGGAGGCCACATCTAATCTGCTATGAAAGCCTCAGCTATAAAGCAGGAAGTTCGGGGGACGGCAAAGCTAATGGCAGTGGTTCCCCAGCTCCCGGTAGCAGAGCCCAGCCTCAGAAGCTGGGACCAGCCTCCAGGATTCCAGCAAGAGCACAGCCGCTGCAAGGTCGCCAGGCAGGCTGGGGAGAACAATCAAGACCCAGGAGCCCTCTGCTCCCTTTCTCATTAAGAAAGCCCTCACACTCACAGCCACTTTGCAACAGTCACTTGGACCACATGCAGGGCTCTTGGGGACTGTAGCAGGCCATGGGCCTGCCAGGTAGGGGGTCTGAGCCCACGGCTCAGACAGATGGGAGCCCCTCAGAATTCACAAAGCCTGTCCCTTCCCAGGAGCAGCGACCCCGCCAGTTACCCCAGACCCACTTCACCTCCCGAGCTGGCCCAGCCTGGGAGAGATCAGCTTTCTGCTTCAAGCACACTCTCTGCCATTTACAGGATATCACAAATAAATGCCCAGAACCTTGGCTCCTGTTTCTAAGAAAGGTTCAGGTGCAGTGGCTCAGAACAACAAGCCATTGTTTGCCTGATGTTCCATCCCCCACTGGGAACTGCCCCCCCACCCCTGCCCACACACACACACAGGCCCCTCAGGAAGGGGCTGAAGAACACCAAGTACTTCTTGGGTTTATACCAAATTAAAGGGGGAGAGAAGACAGAGGTCAGATTTACCTCCCTGCCCACACTGTCCTTGTGTGGCTGTCTCCAGTGGCCCCGTGTGTGAACTGGCTCTGGGGCGCCCTCCCAGAAAAAACTCCATGGTGATGCCATGATACCCACGTGCAATTATCGCCTCCCTTGAGTTAGCTGGGATTGAGACTATACTTTTCAAGGCTTTAAATACAAGTCCTTAATGCGACCTTATTAACCACTTAGCTAATAAGCACTTTGTGCTGCTGAGCTTTTTGTGCAATCCTGACTTAAGGAGCAATTACAGAAGCACGCCAAGGGCTAGAAGGTAGCTGGCAGGTGTCGCCAGACCCATCTATGTGCTCATGGGCCTGCTCAGTTGCCCTGCCAGGACAGAGCACTGTCCAGGTCACCCAGCCAGGTGATCTAGGATGAAGACAAGACTTGGTCTTTCAGAATGGGCCAGAAAGGCTCCCTTCTCCCAGTTGCAGTCACAGCCCCAGCCCATTGCCATGGCTTTCCTAAGAATAACGAAAGCACCCTTAAGGAGAGCAGCACTGGGTCTCCCACACGCCCTTTCCAACCTGATAGAAACCAACCCAGAGTCACCACTGGCCAACCAAGAGGTGGACTGGACTTCCTGGAGAGGTCACAAGGAGACCCGGTGATGGAGAACTCATCTCAAGAGGTGAAGGGGGGACCCCCCGAAGCCCACCCCAAAGACCAGTGTGGAGGCAGACATTGCCCTGAGGATTATGGGTTCTCTTCTGCTTCTTGTCAGTAGGATGCCTTATTGGCTCCAGCAGAGCGAGGACATGACCAGCCAGATGAATGCTAGCTCACTGCTCCCCAAACTACCAGTGGTAAATGACCAGGTTTTGCTTAAAAAAAATTAAATCTCTAGTCTGTTGTGACCTAGTATTTCTGGACATAATAAATGTGAATTACTGGAAATAGGACCACACACTTGGATGTGTGGCAATATCAGATTGCTCACAAGTGTCCAATGCTCACTCTCACTCGTCATGCTCATTGGGTCACAGACCAGTACCTGCCCATGGACCACACTTTGAGCAGCATTGCTCTAGCCAACCAAGCTCCTGGGATCCTAAGACAGAGATCAATTTGTAGAGAAACTTCCAGAAAACTCATTCTGGTATTGACCTCAGAGTGAGAGCCAGGGTTTCTCAGCAAGGAGACTCATGCACTAAAAGGTAGGCCATATATGTTCCTGCAGAGGGCTGGTCAAGGGCAGAATTGATAATTTGGGAGAGTTTGTGCAAACAAAAAGATTTGGCCAAAAATGATCACATCCCAGTCACTAGTTTTTAAAGAACTGGTTATTCTGGAGGGCTATGGGGCTGCTTTCGCAGACCTTTACGTATCTTGCAATATTCTTATAATTTTGAAGAAGGTTTCTTACTACCCTCTTCCCCCTTTTGAATTCTAATTATTTTTCAGTTAATTAGAACAAGCTGGAATGGCCGGACATTTCTGGTGTGCCATTATTTCACCTTACATTAGATTAATCTCACATACACCATTTCCCTTCTGTGAGCCTCAGCTTCCTCATCTGTAAAATGGGGAGACTACTGCCACCCTTGCAGGGCTACAAAAAAGGGTCACCATAGAATCCAGGCCACACCTCACATGGTGTGGGGCCCCCAGGAAGCACTTTGCAGGGAATTAATGAGTCCAAAACACTGCCATTGGCTTGGCTTTACATTTCCATGTTCTAGAACTTCTTTTTTCCTTTCTTAGATGGTCTTCACTCTGGGAAACTCTAGGTCACTTGGGTTCTATCCTCTGCATGAGTAAGAATGGTATGGCCTACCCAGAATGAGCACACTGGCTTCTCTTCGATGAGTCAACCCAGATTCAAACATGGTAGCATAACTGTTGTCCCCAGCATCATCCCCAGAGGCTGCAGAAGATGGCTGGACCCCCACAAGGAGGCATGTCTGAGGCAATCCTGGCACTCTGAGCTCAGAACATGACTGTCAGTCCGCAGCTGCATGTTGGAGCCTTTCTCACCCAGCTCCCTTCTGGTCTGCACTCCCTGATGTCTGACTGTGTCTTACTCATCTCCATGCTCCTGGCACAGGGCGTTTGCTCTGAATGAAGGAGGAAGCAGGTTCCTGGGCCCCTCTGTGTCCAAACATTGCTAACTTCCCCCCTAGGGCCTGGAACTCAGCCAAGAATACCAGGTGCCCAGGCTGTGCTTCACCATGGAGCTGGGCCACCTGAGGCCACCTGGCCTGCTGTGAGCATCATGAAGCCCACAAGGCTCGGGCAGGGTAAGGGCAGAGGTTCTAGGACCTCAAAGCTGAGGACTCGCAGGAAGGGGAGGTTTCGACAGGCAGGGCCTGAGGAGGTCTCCTGCGCCCACTGGGACCAACATTCCCCTCTGAGGAGTGCTTGGGGGAGAAACATCATAGGACAGGCTATGGGCCTGGGTGTCCAGTGGTATGCTCAGGGCAAGAGCAAGAGAGGGCAAGAACTGAAACCACCTTGTTTGAGGGGGTCCGGAAATGACATGCTCAGATTTGAGACTCGGGCAGGCCTTTGAGGCTATGACCTCCCCATGGGTGCCCACGTCTGCACCTGCATCCCCTGGCGCCAGGCACTGTGCTGTGATCATAGGCTCAGAGCCTTGCGAGGTGGGTCTCATAATCCCCCTTCGCAGATGGGGCAGCTGAGGTTCAGAGAGGCTCTAACTCACCTGAGGCCGCACTGTTCTTAAGTGGCTGGGATGGAAATGGAAACCTGAAGGTGACTTCTTTGCCTTGAGAAAGAGAGGAATCAACATGCATTTCAGGTAAGTGAGATTTCTTCCGAAATTCTCCTCTGCTGGGGAGAGAGCACATTTACTGGACACTTTAGGCATTCTACCTTTGCCAGCTCACTGCAACATTCCTCGCACTATCAGGGCTAGCTGCTGTCACCTCCGGTCTATAATTGGGGGACCGAGGTGCTGGGAAGTCCACCAACTCCTGCAAGGTCGGTGCTCTGACTCTAAGCCCGTGTTCTTCTCCCTATAGCACCCTGCTTCCCTGAAACACACCAGCCCTCTGCAAATTAAAATCCCCCAAGCTGGGATGCACACAGGACACCTCCAAAGGCAGTCCTATCCCAGGAACAAAGAGAAGAATGAGGAGGTTGGGGGCAGCCTTGAGATCTATCCTTGTATCAAATGAAAGAAAGACATAGTGCCCAGCCAAGCCTCCCTTAGCTTTGCTCCAATGTGCAAATCTCTCCAGTAAACCCTGCAAATCCAGTTTTAAAACAAACACCCCCAGGTAGAGAAAGCTCCTTTTGTAATGCACATTGCTCTTCTGACCCAGGAAGACTTAAACCACAGCCCCCTCTTGCTCCTTGGCACAAACACTCAGCCACCATCTTGTTCCTGCAAGAGCTCGCCAGCCTTGGCAAATGGCTAGCAGCCACACCAGGTGCCAAATTGGCAGTGGCCTCCCTGCTTGAAAAAAGGAGTTAACTGATGGATGAAGGGGGGGTTTAATGGGATGGACGAGTCGAATGAGTGCTGGAGACATACGAGCGGACATGATCCTTAGTTGGGTCTTTGAAAGACAAGACTCTGGTAAGAATCCAGATCCTAAATGAGAGGACCTCAATACACCCTGTGACCATTCAGGCCAAACTCTCAGGAGTATCACTGAATCTTAAAGCAAATGTCCAGCTGAGAGGGCCATTTGAAGGCACAGCGCTGGCCACCATCTCCCGGAACTGGTGACCCAAGTCTGCACCCCTGTAACAGGTGGTCCTCATCCGGGTTTGGATAGGTCTGTTCCCACATGGAAGGGATTATCCCTGGATCCTCAGAATTGGAGTGTAGGGCTCTAGGGCAGGAATAGAGACATGCTGCCTGCCTCAAGTTTGCCAAGGGCTAAACATCAGTTTCCAAGTGCATTTTCCTTCCCCAGCCTTCCCTGAATGGAGGTGAGCTTGGGCCCCTGGGCAATGAGAGCAGCCCATCATTGGCTGGGCAGAAGCACTGCAGCCTCAGGCTCTCTTCAGGGGAGAGGCTCCCAGAGCTCCCTTAGGACTGAATGAAGTTTGTCACCAGGTTGTCACAGAGTTTAAGCAGCAGCCAATTCTCTCTTCAGAGGAGGCTGTCACCCTGCCAGATTCCGCATGCACAAAACCCAGTGTTGAATGGGTTGTGGGGGTGGGGTCCAGGAGAGGGAGGGAAACTGGTGGTGGGGGGTGGGGAGACTGCAGGGCCAGTGGCAATATCCTCTCTGAGACTGCTTGCCCCTGGAAACTCACCACTCAGTCCTGTCTACAACGGCTTCACACTGAGATCTGGAGGGCGCTGGGAATGTTGAGTCCAGACTAGGTCCTTTTTACAGAGAGACTAAGGCACAAAGAGGGTCAGTGACTTGCCCACTGTCCCAGGGTGGCCCTAAGAGCTCTCCACTCGTTCCCGGCCCCACTGGGAGAGGCGCATCAGCCTGTAATTCATCAGCCCAATTACACCACCACCTGATGGCCAAGGCTGGCTAAGGAGACGGGATAAGAAAAAGAGGTGGTGACTGTTCTACCACAACCTGGTAGAATAAAGAGTCAAGCTATGGGCGGGAGGGGGGGAGCAGAGGGCCTGGGATTGCTCAGCCCAAAGCCCACCGCATTTGCAGCTCTCGATGCACCTGGGTGCAGAGCTCCCCGTGGCTATAGCCTGCGAGCTGGTGCGTCTGACAAGGCCTCCCATTCATGCCTGGCCGCTGTGGTACAGAGAACCCTGTGCCGGGGGGCAGGAGGCCTGGGGACTGGTCTCCTTGCACCTTTGTGTTCCTATCTGTGGCTCTACTCCTGCTCGGTTCTCTTTCCCAGGAACAACAGCCCCCACTAAAACTGCATTTCACATTGCTACCCTTCCCCAGCACGCTAGCTCCCTGCTATAATTTTTCCATAGGAGGTACTATCTTGTCTTTTGATGTATGATATAATTTACCAATATATTACATTATTGTTGATTGTTCATTTCTACCTACTAGAATACAAGCCTCATCAGGGGAGGAATGTAACTCCAGACCACTGATGCACATCCCAAGAGTCCAAAGTGCCTGACACTGAGCCGTCTGTGGTCTAATAAAGGTTTGTTGAATGGCTGAATGTTCACTTGCTGGCTCGCTTCATGAGTGACATTGGTTAAAACCTGCTTGAGGAGCCCAATGGAGGAGAAGCCGAGGGCCTCAGTGGAGCATGATGATGATGGAGCAATGCCTCCTGACAAGAAGTGTCTCTGTCAGATCCTGGTGGCCCACACGTGCCTGCGCAGATTGCCTCTTGCCAGCACCTAGAGCTCAAACGCCTACTGGAAACCAAGTCAGGGACCTTGGGAAGTGTGGGGGCTTTTCTTGCCCCAGCTCTGCCCTCAAGCCAGGCCACGCTGAGCATGAAAGAAAGGCAGAGGCTAGAGGGGACGCGGACCAGGGCCAGCTGGAGGGGCTGGGCAGGAGAGAAGCACAGTGTGGGCCCAGCTGCCCAGCCAGGAGCACCAGCGGCTGCCTGTCTGTGCCCAGGCACCCTGGCCCCTTCTCGTCCTGTCAAGGGCGCCATCACAGGAAGCACCCCCCAGGGGAGGGTCCTCTCCCGAGCTGGGCAAAAAGGCTGCTCTGGAGCTTTGGTGAGGATGACGAGAAAAATGCCAGTCCCCACCCAGACAGCTGCTATCACATGAGCCAGGGATCACTCTCGTGCTGATGAGAAAATACAGAAGCCCAGATAGGTCAGGAGGCATGAGGCCAAATGGCTGACCAGTGGCTGACCTGGAACAAGATGCCGGGCATCCTGGCCATGGCTGTCTTCGGTGGAGCTGCAGATCAGAGGTGTCTGTGCTTCTCTGGGCCACCTCCTGCTGCCCTTCTGGGGATGCTTCATACCCTTACTGGGGATGGTGGAGGGGGTGGGGCTGATAATATTCCTCGCTCCTTTCTTAGAGACCCTACCTGCACCCTTCTCCCCACAGCAGTGGGGGTCCCAACTACAAACCAAGAGGCAGCTCCTAATTTTCCACTAAGGCAACAGCAGACTGCTGGTTTGTGCTTCAGCCTAACAGCATGGAAGCAAAGGAGCAGTAACTGTGATGGGGGACATCTAGCTTTCCGCGCCAAGGTAAGCCTGGGGAAGCGAGACAGACCAGGTGTGTTTGGAGGAGCACGGTTTGCGAGGAAGAGACCAAAACCCACTTCCCTCTCCCACCGCAGCCTGCTAGTGTTCTCAGCATACTTGGTAACAGGAGGACAATGGAAACCATGAAAAGTGCTCCAGAACCCCAATTTAAAAATTGTTCAAGGGTTGCATCTTGTTAAAGTTAGCTTCCCACCTCCTCCCTTCCTCTGAGCCAACCTCTGCACTGCTAACTGAGTCATCCTTCTCGAATACAGAGCCGTGGCTTCAGCAGCTCTAAGAGAGCAGAATAAAACTCCTTAACATGAAGAGCGGGCTGACTTCCACCCTCACCCTCCACACTGCCATAAATACTTTTATTCCCAAAGCAAGCTGCACCAGAATCTTCTTTCTGTTCACACAAACCTTGTCTGCCTTCCTTTGCACATGCTAGACCTTTCTAGAACCATTGCCCTTCCCCTTCCATGGAACCCTTGACACTTGGTTCCCATATTGCCTCTTGTGTGAATCCTTTCCAGGTTTCTCCCCTCTGGGTTCCTATAAACTTGCCCTTTATGTCCCTCAGAATTAAGGGGCAGTACTGAAAAGTGGTATGTTCGCCATGTGAGCTGCCGTTCGGTTAGGTCAAAGACAGCCAAAGACTGGCAATCTCCTCCAGTTCAAGGCTAACGTGCTGTTTGTCCTGAGAACTGGAGTGAGAGGGCTGTGCCACCGTCCTCCTTGTGTCAGCATCTGGCACATGGTGGTGTATGGTGGGTGCCCAATTAACGCTTGCTGGATGAGCAGCACGGTTGGACACATTTTTGTGTGTCTCCTGGTCCGCTTGGTTGCTTGCTCCAACACAGAAACAACCGAATCCAGGACTGCTGGAAAGGATCTTACACATTTTCATCGCAGCCAAAGCAAGCTCCAGATGCTTGTCTGCGCAGGTCAAGCAGAGCATGAGAACATCTCAGAACGTGCAGGGAGTGGGGGCAGCTAACTGTTCAGGACGACTACCTTTCTGGTAGGAGAAACAGAGTCAGCAGTCGATGGAGAGGAAGCAGCAGCGGGATCGGGAGACGGAAGGCAGGAGGGAGAAGCCGGAGGGTGAGCGAGAGACAGGCCTTTAGAAAGTAGTTTATTCTGCACAGAACAGAAACAGAGCAAACGGTGATGGTCCCTGGCAAGTGCACAGTGAGGCTCCCCTCCACCGTGCAGCCCCATGCCTACACGTTCGGGGGTGGGGGGGAAGAAATCCAGGGCTGTGTCTCAGGACAGAAGAGAAGCCTCTGTCTTGGGAGCCCAGCAGGACCGTCTGGCTCCCGGATACACTGCATTCTGCCACAGCTATCCCGGCTCCCTCATCACAGCGAAGTAGCTGGGGCAGACCCGCCCTGTTGCCATGTACGTCTGCCGCAGACTACCAGAGCTAACTCCTGACGCCCTCGCTCTGGAGCTTGGTGTGAAGTAGAAGCTGCAAACTGAGGGAAGGAGAACCCCGGGCCACTGTGGGGCAGACGGCCACGGCAGGTGCCTCTACAGCCCCCTGGGACCCAGATATGAACTCGCTGCAAAACTTCCTTCCCATGACAACGACTCGGCCCAGTAGCACAGGACACAGGTCTGGAGGAGACCGAGTGAAAGCAGCAGAGGAGTTATGTTCTAGAGCTCAGGCTGTCTGCAAGCAAGGGTGCCCCTTGCACACACACACACGGACTGTGGCACCTCATTATCAACTCTTCCCTCTCCTTGCCATGCACTCCCTCTTCATTTCAGCAAGTTTCTAGGTCAGTCCCTGCCATTCTGAGGCAAAGCCACTCCGTTTGGCTGATGCTGCTGTTTGGAAAAGCAGAGCACGGGTTAGAGCCTGTGGCTGGCTCGTCATTCAGGATTTCCCTGGTCAGGGCCACGGGGAGATCTCTCCATTGTGCCTCAAAACACCATGGTTTCACTTTAAGACCCTGGGATGTGATGCCTGCAAGGACCAGCTTTCCTTCTTTGTGTTCCCTCTTAGGGAGCTCAGTGCCTACTCAGGCCCGTCTAGGCTCTACCAGCATACGTTTCTGCTCGTCACATTTTCCTTGGACCTGAGCCTACATTGCTACCTTGGTCTTCCCTTTGTCATGACTGATCTAGTATTTTTGCATCTGCTCATTTGAGTCTTTTTTAGATGCCAGCCCAAATCCCTTAGTGGCGTGAAAAGTCAATAGCCCCTCCTGCCGGAAAAGGAGGAGGGAGGAGGAAATGAAGCTCCGGAGATGGATTCGTGGCCACTTCGCTAGATGTGCAACATCTGGGTTCCTGGGGGCTCTGAACGCCCCGTGTTTACCTGCGGGAAATCCCCGTGTCCAAACATGGAGGCAAGGTGAGCCGCCTTCTCCTTAATGTTCTTTTTGTGAAACTCCCTGTTGGCCAAGTTCTGAGCCCTCTTCTGCTGGTCGGGCGAGAGAGGAGAAAGAGAGAGAGCAACAGTGCCAGAGCCGACGGTGGTTGCCTCCCGGAGAGTGGCAGAACGGGATAGGGGACAGCCACCCACCCGGGCAGAGGAGGGAAGGAGGGAAGGAAGGCGCCCCAAACACAGGCAGAGGCCGGGCCACGGGCGGGCTTTCACCTGCAGAATCTTGTCCTCCACTTGCTGCAGCCGCCGCAGCGCCCCAGAAAGCGCCAGAGCTCCCTGGCAGGCGGGAGGCCGGCCAGCAGGGGCTTCAGGCCCGCCCAGCTGCAGGTCAGACTGGGCTCTGGCTCTCCAGGGCCTGCTTGGGCACCCGCCGCCAGGAGACACTTGCTTCAGCTCTCGGAGCACGTGCCCCGTCACAACCACCGAGGGGAACTGGGAGAGAAGGAAAGTCAAGCTTCCTTCCCAACTGTGGCCCATTCACACACCCCCTGCCGTGAGCCCTCCCCATGAGGACCAGGGACCAAGGGCGCAGCAGGGGCCACTGTAAGTCAGACTCCCCCCGCTAACCTCAGGTCCTGACTTTCTGCCACCTGCCATCCTCATTAGTGATGCACGGTCTCGGGCCTCACCCCAGACCCACCGGGTCAAAACCTGCACAAGCCCGGTCTCGGTCCTATAGCTGCATAGGGAAGTCACCTAGGGCACTTAGAAAAAGTCACCCGAGTTTGGGCCCAACCCCCGGAGAGTCTGTTTTAACTGGTCTGGGGGTGGGTACCAGATGGTGATATTTTTTAAAAAGCTCTCTAGGTGATTCTTCTACGCACACAGGCCTAACATCACCGAAATATATCCTCACTGACTTCGCTCAACCTCCACCACGGGAGCAACACCAACCTCCTACTGCTGGCTAGACATTTCTGAACAGTGTGCTCAGGAATAGTGATTCTGTTCAAATTCCAAACCCAGAGATGCTCGCTGGACAAAGCCTCGGGCCCTGGCTGCCTCCCGGCCCCGGGCGAGTCCTCGTCTGCTTGGGCACCAGGAGATGGCTTCACAGCACCCCGGCCTTACCCCTTCCGTGGTGTGCAGCCAACTGGCCACCTGAGCTCATTTCACCATCCCTGCCACTTGTCCTTCTATTTAGAAATCTCCTATCCAAGTGGTCTGCAAATAAAGCTAAGTGTCCCGTAGCGTCCCCCAAATGCCCCATGTGGTGCAGCCTGTTTTACCCCAAGCAAATAAAACACCAAGAGCACAGCAGTTGGGCAGACGATGCTCCAGACTGGCACATACTTCAAGAGGCTGCAGACCTGGTTATTCTTACCTATAAGGATGGTCACCTCAAGTTGTGTCTGCCTTCCCAGAGAAGCTACAGTCAGCCCTACCTGGGGCACACAGAGAGCCACGGACCCCACCCCTCTGGATCAAAGTCCCCTCTGACTTCACCAAGACAGGGTCCACTGGAAGGAGCCCTACCTGCCTTTTCAGAGGAGGTGACGGGCTGGGTGTGGGCTCCTCTGGCCTAGGGCAGCGAGAGTTAACAGGTGGGTCAGAGGAAGTGCGCAGGACAGGCTTACCCATCCCTGAGACACGGCATTCCTGGGAGGATGAAGGTGAGTCCGAAATAGCAGCCACAGGAAACATGAAGGAAAAGGTGAGTCAGACACTTGGAGGGAGGAGAGGAAGAGAGGCAGGCAGAGAGAGTTTGCAAGTGCAGAGACAGCACTGGGCTGAGCTCCCACGAGCCAGGCCCAGAGGGGAAACTTGAACCCCGGTTCTCTGTCCATGGGAACATCAAGTCCTGGAGTCCCCTTCTCTTGGACAACGTGTAAATCCCAGGGAGGCCTTGCTTTTGGCTCAGACCTGGGGTACTGGGCCTGCACCACGAGAGCCTATGCCAAGCCCAGGTGGCCAGGCCTGGAGTCCTCCTGGAAATGGCAAAGTCTCCTGCACACAAGATGACAGGGATGCTACATTCCTTCTGATGGAAGAGAACCCTCGACTGACACCTGGGGACTTCTAGGGGCCCAGCCTCCAGAAGGGGCAATTGAGAAAAAAATCACAAGTCTCAGGACGATGGCCCTCTTCTCACAAAACTTGGCTTCCTGGGGAAGGCCAGTTTGTCCGGGAGGGGCAGGTCCCCCATCAAGACCAGGTAGACATTTATGATGACTGCCTATAACGTTAATTAACCAAGAGTCTGTCCTCCTACTGAGAGGAGCCTAATTCTGTTATACGACAGGTGTTCTCCAAAAAAAAAAAAACCAAACCCCTTGTCCCAAGCTTTTGTAATGTGACGGTGGCATCCCAAAGGAATTCAGGGGAGCAAAATGAACCCCACAGCGCAGACCCTGGAGTCAAGTCTGAGAGCAATCAGCTTGGTGTCAAGCCTGCCCCATGGCACTCTGCCTCCTTTAGCCGCCCAGCCGCCCTGCTCGGACACCACAGCCTTGCCGGCCTGACCCAAGGGAATGCGGAGGAGGGGACGTCAGAGAACACTTGGGGGTTGGTTCCCATGGAGCTGAGAGCCGTGACTTAGTTTTCCCTGGGGTGCACAGGTTTTCTCACTCTGGACTTAACTCCCAGGCAGCCAGCATCTCTAAAACTCCCTTACGCTGTACCATCTCAAAGATGGCTGCAAATCAAGTCATGGTTACAAGGCAAAACCAAATTCTGGATTTCTTCTCCAGGGCAGAACAGGCATCAGCCAACTATGGTCATCAGGCCGAAGCCAGCCTGCTGCCTGTTTCGGTAATTTAAGTTTTATTAGCACGCAGCTACGGTCCTGCCTATGGTCGCTTTCACACTTCAACGGCAGAGATGAGCAGTTGCAGAGAGACAGGAGGCTCCCGAAGCCTCAAATCTTTGCTATGGCCTAAATGCGCTACCTGGTCCTTCCTGGAAAAGTCTGCTGACTCCTGATCTAGAAGGAGCCCCCGTCTCCCCTGAGCCAGGCCTGGCTGGCATACCTGAAATCCACCACTAGCCTGCACGTTTCTGCTGGCTTCTCAGCAGGTGTTGGTCACCAGGAAGGCAGGTCCAGTGAGCATCTGATGGGACTCACCTGCCTCAGGAGCGAGGGGTTCCGAGAGCTCTCCTCGAACTTGGCCAGCAGCTGACTTGCCATGGACTTGACCTTGTTCTGGCCTCCCCCTTCTCTCCCGCTGCCGCCCTCTGGACTGCAGCGCAGGCTGCGGCTGGGATAGGCTGAAGGCTGCAAAGGCCAAACGAGCACATTGGTTACTGTGAACCCAGATATCAGGAAGGGGCCCGGGGACTTGGGACACCGGACCAGTTTTCTGAAGGAGGACGTCAGGGTTTGAGGATGGGAGGCAGGAGCAGCAGGTGATGCCCATTGAAACGATGCTCACATCTTCCCAAAGGACGGGCACACCCACTTGGGAGCCAGACAGGGTTTGAAAACAGCCTCTTTCACCTCCCAGCGCAGTGACCTTGGCAATTTACTTCATTTCCCTGAAGTTTCCTCATCTATAAAATGGAAGCCTAGTCCACTTCACCTGGTTGTTGCAGAAGTCAAATATAACAATGAAGTGATCAGCAAAACAGTTTTCCAAATACACCATGTGGCTGCGAGAGGTGAAGAGTAGGGCGGATGAAGAAAGCAAGAGGGGGCGTCAGTCAGGCAAGGCACAGGCTTTGGGCTTCTTTCTCCTCTCTCCTCTGCGCCCCACTCCCAGCTTCAACCAGCCCTGCTCTGTGGTCACTATCTTTTAAAAAAAAAAACAAACAACTTTTCATCTGGAAAGAATTTTAGACTTACAGAAAAGTTACACAGAGAGTTCCTGCATACGCCTCACCCAGATGCACCCAATGTTAGCATCTAGAATAACTGTGGTACTGTTACCAAAACTAAGCAATGAACACCGGCATGATTCTACTAAGCTAGAGACTTGATTCGGACTACCCCAGCTTCCCACCGATGTCCTTTGGGTTCCAGGACACGAGTCCAGGTCCCACGTGGCATTTAGCCATGTCTCCTCCATCTCCCTCCTCTGTAACACTTTCTCCATCTTTCTTTGCCTTTCATGACCTTGACAATTTTGAAGGACACTGGTCAGCTATTTTGTACAGAGTCCCTCAGGCTGGGTCGGTCTGATGTTTTCTCATGGTCAGACTAGGGTTGTGGGTTTTGAAGAAGATGCCTCAAAGTTCAGAAGTGCTTGGGTCCATCAACGTGACTGTTGACTGGTGAGGGGCTGGTTGTGGTCACTTGACTGTGCTGTTTTATAAAATGGAGTTCCACGTGAGCCTTCTTTAGCTCATCTGCTAAAAAATAAAACTTGGACAGCTACCAGCATTCACTGATTCAATGTCTGCTCTCCTTACCAAAGGACCTGCTCCCATAGGCCTCAGCAGCAAATGCCACCATTGTATCAGGTGGGCAGTGTGCTTTCCCAAGGAGGCACTGCATCTCCCTCACAGGAACAGATGTTCTCAAGACAACGAAGATATGTTCACTTAGAAAAGTCATGGGAAGAGGCAAGCTATGGCCAACTGATTTTTTTTTTTTTTAAAGATTCCCTAAGAGGGGCAGCCCCAGGGGAAACCGTGTATGCGTAGCCACTCTCGAGTGTTGGACAAACACAGACCAAAGTGTCACTCCCCACTTCGAAGTGCAGAATGTAACTCTGCATATCGATATAAGCTTGAGTGGAAGAGGGTAGGTTTACTGGAGTGGTCACTGTTTGCTCAAGGCCAAAGTCAGCCAGGATAGTGGGTCATGCAGACCAGCACTTCTCAGATACTAATCACTGAGGGGCTCTTTCAGAGGCAGATTCAGATTGGTCCATAATCTGGGGGCCTGACCCTGCATCTCTATCCAGCTGCTAGGTGATGCTGATGCTGTTGGTTCCCAGCCCACACTTTGAGTAGCAAGAATTTGGAAAGAATTATTGCTTAGTGAAACCTGACTTTAGTAAAACAGTTGGCTCAGGTCAGCCTAGAAACATCTCAGAAGGGGCAGGTGCAACCGATTTCAATTCCCACACTCTGACTCCTGTGTTGTCAGCAACAGAGAGCACAAACACTCCCTCAAAGAAGCCATGGATGAAAGGCAGGAGCAGGTTTCCACCTGAGACATCATGCATCACAGGGAAACCTCTAGGGAGGAGGCATGGGCAAATCACAGGCACTTAAAATGAGAGCCAACACCCCATAACTGGGAAAGTGGGAGGTCTCCCCCCACCCTGTTCCTCAGCCTCCGCTTGCTCCTTTCAACTATCTCCCTATTCACTGGCTTCTTGCTCACACTAGCACCAAGAGATGGAGAAGTGACTGCTCTTGAAGGGATCAAAGAAGTTCTAGAAAAGCTTTGGACAAAGGTGATTTGAACTCATCGGATAAAACGTTATTTCTGCACATTTTAAGACGTGAACTGAACTCCAGGGTTCCGTTATCAGAGCACCCCTTTGCCCCTTCCAGAAAATGGGGTAAACAACAGGCAGCTTCCCGACCCACCCAGGTCGGGCCTTGTGGCTCTATTTGTTATAAAGTTCACTGTTTTGAGACCCCGTGTCTGGAGAGAGATTGGTGCTTCATTTTGACCAAGTAGCCTGTAATTTTCTGCTTTCACCAGAAGGTGGCACTTGTGGGCACCAGGCCATTTGCCTAAAAGACAAGTGCAGAAAACGAAAGGTAGAAACTATGGCTAGGGGACAGGAGGGGCTGCCGGTGCCCGGTCACTACTCTCCGCTAATAGTGATGCTGTGTGGATTAGCACAGGTGCCTGAGAGCATGCTCGGCACATTATATACGTTCTCCTATTTAATCTTTAAAAATCCTGCAAAAAGTTGCCTACACATGCCTTTCACAGACGTGAGCCACAGTCTGGGAGGCTCCGTTTCTCCAGGTGACATGGCTAGGAAGCAGCAGAGAGAGGACCAGAGCCCGATGGTTTCTCCATCAAGCCAAGCTTGGAACCGAGCGGCTCACAAGAGAGGAAAGGAGGAAGGGCCAGTGCTGTGGTCACTGGCTATCAGGCAACCAGCCTTTGTTTAATTTTTTTTTTTTAAGATTTTTATTTATTTGACAGAGAGAAACACAGCGAGAGAGGGAACACAAACAGGGGGAGTGGGAGAGGGAGAAGCAGGCTTCCCGCGGAGCAGGGAGCCCGATGCGGGGCTCGATCCCAGGACCCTGGGATCATGACCTGAGCTGAAGGCAGACGCTTAACGACTGAGCCACCCAGGCACCCCACCAGCCTTTGTTTAAACAGACACCGTGCACACGAACCTCATCCAGGTTGTTGAAGCCTTTCCGCCTCCGTTTGTTCATGTCGCTGTCTTCAGTCTGGGTGTCCACCTGCAGCAGCCAAGAAAGCGTGGTGAGCTCAGGGCCAGCAAGGTCTGCAGTTCCACCAACTGCCCTGAGGCCATGGGGCAGACCCTGCGCCAGCCTTCGGGGATGCCACCCTGCCCGCCAACAGGTGCCATCCCAGGAGACAGATGGACACACATCACCCTGCACTGTGACAAATGTGATCACAGAGTTCTGTTCAGAAGAGGGAGGCTTCCTAACCGGGGTGGGGAGTGGGAGGGGGAGGAGAGGTGTTCTGTCAGAGGGGTGGGAATCACATCCCCAAAGAGCATTCTGAAACATCCCAAAGCACAAAGAATCCCCGTGACATGGGCGGGGCAGGGACTGTCTCTGTGGTCGATGTGATTGACCCTGGGCTCCAAGCAGTCACAGCCCGGCCTGCTGATGCCCCTTGGCATGCTGCCATAAGGAGACCCCCTCCTGCAAGGAGATGCCACTGCTCACCTCACAGGCGGGGATTCTTGGGGCTCAGAGCAGCTGTCCAGGAATTTGAAGGCAAATTACACCTGCCATTCGGTCACCATTGCAAATGCCAGTAAATGATATTTTATCAACTTCAAGGGAGCATCAGGTATGGTCTGGAAACTATGGTGATCATACAGCAATGTGTTCCCAGGACCATTTTTTTGTTTTGTTTTGTTTTGTTTTTTTAAGACTTTACTTATTTGACAGAGAGAGAGAGAGAGACAGCGAGAGAGGGAACACAAGCAGGGGGAGTGGGAGAGGGAGAAGCAGGCCTCCCGCCGAGCAGGGAGCCCGATGCGGGGCTCGATCCCAGGACCTTGGGATCATGACCTGAGCCGAAGGCAGACACTTAACGACTGAGCCACCCAGGTGCCCCAGGACCGTTTTGATTTGTTTCCCCAGCAGAATTATTTATAGTGCTCCCTTCCATTCTCAAAAGCATCCCGGTTAGACAATAAATTGCATGGATGCCCTACCAATAAGCCCTTCCAGCTCACTTTCTGCTGCCTGAATCTGAACACTGAAGTCTGGAGAACCCCACTCTACACAAGCTCACTGCAGCGACCCTGCAAGGGACCAAAGGGCACACGCATTGTCAGTCTTGTCTCCTGTGGGAGGATGGGCAGGGCTGCACAGATGGAGTGAGGCTGTGGGCTAGGCTAGGGACAGGCGGCTGGACTCAGCGCCACCCCTGTGCCCTGCCAGGTGAGTCTATCCTGACCCTGGGGTTAGACCAGTCTACCTACCCATGTCCAGTATTTCTGTCATGAGCATCTTTGCTGCAGACAACTTTGCTTCAAGCCCCTTTGCCACAAGAGTTTTTACCACGGAACTCATTGGATATAAAGCAATTTTGCCATAACAGATACAAAGATAATGGGCTAACAGTTTGGTTTCATCAGGTGATTGACAGCTTGGTTTCATTTCTCCTCTGGCACCGTGCTCCCGTTTTTATATTATATAAATCTTAGCCCTCATAATGGTCTATACAGTGGTGCAGAGTTTTGAACTCGCATTTCCCATAGAACTTTGGGATGTCTATTGATGGACACGTGACAAAATGCCAAGTGGAAACAATATGTGGAAGGTGTTCACAATGCAACATAAAGTTGAGTCACAAATACGCATCCTTGTATTTAGAAATGGATATCTCCCTCTTTTTTTTTTTTTTTTTTTTTTTTTAGAGAGAGAGAGAGAGAGTGGGGGCAGGAGAGGAAGAGAGAATCTTAAGCAGGCTCCACGCCCAGCATGGAGCCCAAAGTGGGGCTTAACCTCAAGACCCTGAGATTATGATCTGAGCTGAAATCAAGAGTCAGACACTTAACCGACTGAGCCACGCAGGCGCCCCTGGATACCTCTCTTAATGAAGGAAGAAAGTTTAGTGAAAAAAGAATATGTGTAATGTCGAACATGGAGATGAATCAGTGAGCAAAAAATGTATAATAATATGAACCAAAGACCGTGAAGACAAGTGCTTAGGTACAATCTTAGGTACGAAATGAAACCAGCTGTTTGCACAGTGTTGCCATGAATCTACGCTACTTATTCTGAAGGATTCAAATCTTTTGTATTTCACAATAGTCTTTTTAATTTTGTTATTTGTTTTTCATGTTTCATATGTCCTTTTTAATGAATGCCCATCATTTGTTTCTTGTGCTTTTCTTGTTTACAGCACAATTGCTTTAGGGCTGATTAGTTACAGAGCAAAAATGCTTGCAGCAAAGATGCTTATGGCAAGACTACCCGGACCCTACTACCACCGGCCTCCAGCTGGGGCCTTCTCCATATGGCCAGCCCCCTGAGGGCCATGGAACCCCCACCCCCAAGCCTCCTACACACTCAGGCCCTCCAGGGCAGGCCAGCTTACATCCCAGCCTTTGTTCCACTGAGCAGGCAGAGGGAAGGGCTACTGACCATCTCTCCCCCTGAACCCAGGAGTACAGCCCAATCTGCCCCACCCCTCCTACCCCTGCTGCGCCGCAGGGATTCTTTTACCTCTCACCTGTTCTGCAGTAAGAACTCAGAGCCCCCAGCACCCATGACTATGTGCCCACTTGCTCCCAGTGGAAAGCACCTGCTTCCCCTGTTTCTGTTTTCCCATCACCCCTGACCCTTCCCACACTTACCAGCACCTTTGATATTTTTAAAGACAAGATCCACCATAGTTTAGGCATCGATATTTGTTCAAAAATTTGACCCTTCCCTTGTTCAGGCAGCACAAAACAACAGATCAAAGGGCCCTGCCCTCCCTTTAACATTTTTCTCAGCTTCTAATAAATCATTATTCTGTGAATGGAAATGATTTCAACCCAAACGCTTGGGCAAACACCAAGAGAAATAGATGACCTTATTTGCAACAATGTTGGGTCTTAGAGGCGCAGGCCATCTGGGTCCCCAGCTCCATCGCCTGTGAATGGCTTGCTGGCCAAGACAGGGGCCTGAGAAAGTACAGGATGTCCTACCCAACAAGAACACTGCATGCATAATCTTAGGGGTTTCTGTTGTTTTGTTGTGGTGGTTGTTTCCACCGTAAATGAAGAATTGGCTTTTCTCTCAAAGAGCTACACCTCTTACTCTCTCTCTTGCATTCAACAGCTTGGGACTTGACTGTTCCAACTTCAGAGCCAAGTAGATCCAAACCCAGTAGGTTAGCCACAGGCTCACAAGAAGCGCTCCTGAGAGGGAGTGTGTCCAGCACCTGAGAAGACCCCAGATCCTTCAGCGGGAAAAAAAGAAGTAGGTGGGGCAACCTCCACTCCTCTGATTCAACCTGACCCATAGAAAAAATAAAATGCAGTCTATATGAAAAGGTTGGCAACACACATACCCAAATGGTCTCTACTCTTCCTTACACATTTCTCATGGAAGCGCTTATTCTCAACTAAAGAGTTAGGTTAAAACAGAAAGGTGGAGAAAACTCAAACCTAGGGATTTACCTAATTTTTTCTTATCTGTATATCTCTATCTGCAAGCCAATGTTGCCTTAGTACCCCCATCTCCTTGGACTCTATTTTGCTCTACAAAGAATGGAGTACAAGGAGGAAGAAAATACTTATGGTGACCAGCAGGAGAGAGAGAGAGAGAGAGAGCATGAGAATACACAAACAGCTCACTTTCTTTTGCTCTTAATTTTTTCCTGCCTTTCCCCCTAAGAACATTTTCTTATCATGTTTTCCCAATGATCTGAAAGAGTCCATACACCAGATGGCATTTCCCCCCCCAGAGGGCATTTATTAAACTAATTGGTATCGCCATTAAAAAAAAAAAAGTATTTGCTAATCTGAGTATTTATTTGATCAGTACAAGATAACCATGTCCCCATAAAGCCCAACTTCCTATGATTTTAGCCCAAAGGAAACAACCTTTATATTTAACTAGTTAGTTTAGCCTAACCCTGGAGAAATTTGGATCTGGGGCATAGAAAGAGAGACCGGCCACTGCAGGCAACGGCCTGGTTGAGTAGGGAGGCAGCGGTGATATTTAGGCCAATGACACTGGCAAGAGAACTCTTCTCTTCTTCAGTAACAGACTAGTAGGGAGTCATGAGTTCGAATTCTGACATGACTTACTTCCCAGCTGTGTGACCTTAGGAAAATCACCTAACTTCCCTGACTGCAGTTTCCTTATCTATTATTTCCTCACCTAGATATCCTATCCAGCTCACAAATTGTTGTAAGGGTTAACAAAGTCATGTACATAAAACACTTCTTATAAGGCGCTATATACATGTTACACACTGTTACTTAGGTTAATGCTAGTTAACAGAATTAGAAAACCTGAATTCTAGTTCTGACTTTGACTTTCCACCTACAGGCAGGACATCACGATTTAATCTCCCCACAGCCAACATTCCCCTTCTCTAAAACTGGGCTGAGAACACATGCCCAGCCTTCCTCCAAAGCCAACACAAGGAGCAGATGAGATATATATGAAACTGCTTTGTACGCCGTAAGGTGCCGCACTGATCATGGTTGCAGTGGAGAACCAAGTGCCCAATCCCGCTAGCTTGACTCATTTTCTCAGGAAACAGGCATCTGCGTTGAATTGGTACTCCTAAGGGATAGGCGCGCTCATCTGGGGAGCCCTTCCCACTTGGCCGGGCAGGTGCTCAGACCTGCAGCACCCATCTGTTCACGCGCTCTTCACAGCGACATGACGCAATGCAGTGTTGATGTGACTGCAACCACTTTGCAGACAAGCAAAGGAACCACCTTCGGAGCGGTTCAAGCATGTGCCAAATCCTCAGCAGACCTACATACATATTCATCTGCCTGGCTTCTAATGTACTCCCATTGTGTAAGTCAGCTCAGAATGGCCGGATGTGCGGCACAGATGGCAGAAGAGAGACCAGCCTGCCAACCACGGGGGCCAGAGGGGCAGCTCAGAGGCCCTGTGCTCTCAACTCTCAGGGACTTCCTTCACGTCTGCAAACTGAGAAGCACTAGAGACCTAGTGGGGAGCTCTGGCTGCTGGGTGGGGGTTCTATGAGAGCAGCTGGGGAAGAGGAGAGGAATTCAGACATTCCCCCAGAAGGGCAGCATCCTTGGGCAGGGTCCTTGCTTGTCTTGTTCTCTGCTCTACCCCCAGCACTGAGAGGAGAACCCAGCATCGGATATGCACCGGGCCAGTCTGGATGGAAGAAACGCTTCCTCACCTCATGCGCCTGGCTCTTTGGAAAGTGTTCGTGGGCGGGGGGGTGAGGAGAGCTGGGCGGGCACCCTGACTGCTGAGACCGGACACCCACACCAGCCAGGTTCTGTGAACTCCACTGTCCCGGGAAGAGTGCTGGAGGGGAGCCTGCATCACCATCAGCCAGCTGAGAGGATAAACACCCTGGGGCCACCACCCGGACCCCTGGGATTGGCTTCTCACGGACAAGCGACACCTCTGTATTGTGTTGTCTTGAAGGAGTGGGCTCAGACTAGAGAAAACAAACATCAGGTGCCCTGAGTGTGTCCATAGTGTCCTGTCTGTGATGACTGCAGTGGCCATAAATCCAGGCATGACCCACATGTCATAGGTCTAGGAGGGGACACGTGGGAGGACAGAGACCATGTAGGTATGTTCAGATATCGCCTGAGGTCCATCGTAACAGGAGGTCTGGAGTCCCCAGTAATTTTCCCATGCCACAGGCTTTTGTGCGAATGCTTTTAGGATCAGAGGCAGATCTTCAGGAGCAGACCTGCAGATCGATGGGAAAGTTGCCTTCTCTAAAAGTAAACAAGGTCCTTGGTAGAGGAAAAGTCTTCTATTTTGCCTGAAGCTGATCAGTTTTGCTGGGATTTGGATGCTATCTGGGGTTAGGGATGAGACAACAATTTAACACCAACCATGAAAACCAGGAAAGAGAGATTTTTAAGGCTGGCTCAGTAGAGAAAAGTGGACCCTCTCCACATTAAGATGCCATGTTGTGAACAAACATGGGCTTCTCAATTCCCACATCAAGATGCTCCTCTGAGAGTTAGTGAGGGCGTAGGGAGGGTCAGAGAGGGCTGGGGAAAGGGGGTGAGGTTGAACACAGACACATCTATGTGTCCAGACACCGTGTGCTACGGCGTACTCACGTGGGCATGGCTGAGCCTGCGTCTCTAATCCATCGGGGCACATGAGCGAGGGTGCTGAGGGCTGTGTGCCTACCTGTGCTGCCATCTTCTGGATAAAACCATGGTGGAGCCTCGATGTGTGTGCAGTTTTCAGAGTGTCCTGTGCACACATCCTCCACTCCCATTCTGGGGAAAACTGGAGTGGACTCAGGTCTCTTTGCTTGTGAGAAATGTCAAGACCAAAGAGCATTGCAAATAGGTTCCCCAAACCAAAGAGTATGCAGACACAAGAAGACCCGTGGTTGCTGGGGAGGAGGTACTCTGTGTGTGGTCCGGTCGCTGCAGACTTTGAGTGGTGGACTGGGGTATTTCGGAGATAAGGCAGAATGTGACCCAGCAGCCTTTACTAACTTGCCAACCCGCCCAGAGGGAGCATTCAATCACAAATAATGCCCATGCCAAGCACTTACTTCAGTGACCTAATCTTTCTACCCATCCAAACAGCAGGGCAAATCCTAGACATAAATGGAGCTGGGGTGGGGGGGGACTGGACCCCTCTCAGGATGGGCAGCCCCTAGGCACACCCTGGGGGGCAACTGGACATGGTTCAAACGCGGCCAGGGCCGGGCCAGACAGAGCCTGCCCATGCCCCCTGAATTTTCTAGCAGAGCCAGTGGGAAGTGGAGTGAGGACCTATCAGCCCTTGGAGGGCCTGGCTGGCCTTGCCAACCATTCCCATCACGGGACCTGGGGCTGGCCAGCCTGTTATCATTCCGTCATTCTGTAAACAGAGGTGTGGCAAGTGCAAGGTTTAAGCATTCCTCTCCAGTTCCCAGCTGTGGGCTAAGTGGTGGGAGAAAGCAGGTGGATGGAGAAAGACCTTAAATGTTTGGCTCAGACAGTTTTCAGAAAGCCTGCCCTGGCTTGCTTAGATGGGGAAGCCCGAAGTGGGGATGTTTAGAGGGACAATAGCTGGGCTGGGGTGGAACGAGCCTGTGACTGGTCTCCAGAAGATGACTTCCACTCAGTGGGACATGTGGTAGGCCACGCAGCCCTCCCATGGAGCCTCTGAACGGAGCAGCCTAGGAAGCAGAGGGGGACAGAGCGGCTGGGTGCAGCTCAGCCCCTTCGCCGCTCTGCTGAAAACCCCCGCAGACCTGCACCTCCTCCTTCCCTGGCCCTGGCCTTGCTGGCCCGGTCCCTCCTATAGACAGGGCGTGGTAGAGCAGTGCATGCCCGCTCCTGGAGTTAGCCCAAAGGCTACAACGCTCCAGGGAGTGCAGACCTCAGTGGAAGAAGTGACTACTGCTCACACAGCCAAGGGAAAGACAGGAGGCTACGTGGCCCCAGCCCCACCCTGGGCAGAGGGGCTGGCAGGGCCAGGTGTGACTGACCACACATAGGAGACTGTCGGCCACCTAGAGAGTCTAAGGCACACACAGAGGCCTGCCGCCCTGTGGAGAGAGGCAAGGTTTGTATGAGGACTTGCCACCTCACGTATCTGTGCCTCCATTTTTTTGATCTGTAAAATGAGCACAGTACGTAGGATAACTTGCGTCATACCTACCATAGACATGCCACCATTCAAATGAAGTTACAACGCCTCATTAGCTTCACAGTTCCCAAACTGTGTACCAAGGCACCCCATGGCCCCCCGACAGTGAGCTTGCAGAGGAGCCGTACAATACTTTAAATTCTCCAGGGAAACATGGTGAAGTCTGTTATACACCTTGGAAAATACCCCTACCAAGTTATTTGGACTCAACTACTTAGTAAACAGAACTTTTAGATATTTCTTTTGATCTAGGGGGACACTGTGATAAAAATCACTGAGACACTAAAGGTGCTGTTAAGTCAGGAAAGTTTGGGAACCTCTTTCAGCTCTGAGCTCCTCAAAGGCATACCTTATTCACCTCTGTGTATTTGCTCCTCTCATCAGAAACAAACAAAAAATGGGCGATTGGGTGGCTCAGTCAGTTAAGCGTCCGATTCTTGATTTTGGCTCAGGTCATGATCTCAGGGTGGTGAGATCAAGCCCCGTATCGGCTTCCACAGTCAGTGTGGAGCCTACTCAGGCTTTTCTCTCTCCCTCCCTCTGCCCCTCCTCCCCTGCTATCTCTCTCTCTTAAAAAAAAATTAGAAAAACAAACAAAAAAATTCAGCCCTAAAGTTGGCAACACCTGTGGAAGGAAGGGAGTGAGGGAGGGTAGGGGGAAGGGGGAAGGGGGAAGGAAAGGGAAGGGAAGGGAAGGGAAGGGAAGGGAAGGGAAGGGAAGGGAAGGGAAGGAAATTAATGGAACAGAATGTATAAATGTAGCGGCACCATACACTCTGCCACTAACAGCCATGGCATAACCGATCTAAACTGCTTAACAAGTGAGAAATCATCTCCACCCTCCTCTTAGGAGGCAGGGCTAATCTGATTTACTTAAAAAAATACTCAGCAGCATGACCTCTCAGTTCTGTGCCATGCCCCTCCTGTAACCAGTTCATGTCACCGAAGCCAGCCACACGGCGCCAGGAGACTTCCAGCAGCACTGGGTCACTAAACAGCGCTTTACTCATGTCTCCCGTGGGCACTCGATCTGGGTCATTTATCAGCGTTAATAGACCGAAGGCATGACATTCTCCCTTCCCCTTGCCCCATCTGTGGCCAAACTTACCCGTGGAGTCCTCTTTCTTGGAAATGTGAGGTTGAGATAGTTATGAGAAATGGAGGATTTGGCCAAGCTGAGGTCCGCATTTTCTCCATAGTTTTTGCCCCAAGAATCTGTTAGGAAATAAAAATATGACAGAGATCAGACCCTGCCACCACTACCCTGGGGCTCAGGGGGTGTCATGGTTACAAGGTCCCTCCAAATAATTCCTTCCCCCTCAACTAAAGATGTAAATGGGCTGGGCAGGGGGCTGATGCAGCTCTAACCAGTGACCTCCCAGTCACGGGGGCAGACCTTCGGCCTCACGTGGCACCTGCCACACACATCCACTCACACACACAGGTCCACCCCGGTTTGGCCTCAAAGTGAGAGGGAAGGCAGGGGGCCAGCCTCAGAAGAGAAGACACCAGTGTGGAGAGTAACCAGAAATGGGCACAGGGCAGAGATGGCCCAAGGGCACAGCAAAGCCTGTCCCAAAGCAGGGCCTTACCCACAGGCCTCAGCGGGGTGCCTCGGAAGAGCTCGTAGAACTTGGAGAGGTACATGACCATGCTGAGGTGGTCGGGCTCCTGGGCTGACACCATCTCCTTGCCTGTGGTCACTGGGGCAATGCCAAACTCGCGCTCGGCCACGTCAAATGCCAGTTGGTTGTTCTCCACAGCGTCATCTTCATTCAGAGAGTCAAAGTTGCTGGAGAACCAGAACAACGCAAAATTCAGGGACAGGAGACAGAGGCGTGAAAAGCTGAACCAATTTACCCGGAAGGAGCACTGTGGGCAACATTCTGCTGGGTCTTGCCAGCTGGGGAGGGGTGAGGGAGCCGCTGGCTCCTGCCCCCAATCACCCCAGCCCCCTGCTGCCCACCCCACCCCCCTGCCCCCCACCCACTACTGCCCAGGGAGGCTCCTCCTCACTTGGGGTAGGGACCAAATCAGATTTAGGCCATGACAATGTCATTGCTGCCTGGGCTGAAACAATGGGAAAATAATTTGTCTTTGGAAAACTTTTCAGCTACTTTATTTTTAAATAGTTCCTTTACATGCTTGTGCTTTTAATTATAAAAGTATATGGATATCTTGTAAAAAAAAAAAAAAGGAATCAAGGGATAAATAACATATAAAGTAACAGGTGAGCACCCCATCCCCTTCTTGAGGCAGCCTCACTTCCTAAAGGTACCGACCGATAACCCCCTGGGAGGTTTTCTTTCGGCCTTCTGGATGAATGTGCCCGTGGGTGTGTGGTTACTCTGCAGCCGATCTGAATCCAACATTAACACATGTACTGGGCCTTCAACACCACAAAGTGTGTCCAATCTTCCTATCGACGCTGCCATTATTCCCAATTTACAGACAAAGAAACAAACTCAGAGAAGCTAAGGGACCTGCCCAGTGCCACACAGCTAACTGGTCTGCATCTCAGATCGAATTCTTCTGGCTGTAAAATCCTCGAACTGGTCCCCAGAATGAGGTCTTGCCCGTAATTTCTCTCTTGTGGGGAGAGTGCACAGGTGTGAACGCTCGATTTCCCCAGCATGGGGATGGACGGGATGCAGGGATGAGTACAAGCACGGAGACTGAACTGCGTCTGCGCCTCACGTATTAGGAACACAGGTCAATCAAGCCGCTGACAGAGTAATCAGTGCAAACAGCAAAGAAAAAAACTTAAGAAAAACTCAAACCAGAGATATATCGCTTCTCGGCCTTTTGGCTAAGATCAAGTGTACTTTGAGCCAGGATTCCACATCCAGCAGAACATCCCTGGTTCCCTTTGTCTCCAGGGTCCCCCTGGGCCACGGAGGGCTCAGCAGGTGCAGCCTGCACCCCCCCAACTCACATCAGCTCAGGCCGGAAGCGGTGGATGATGGCGCACAGGGCCAGGCCACTGCGCCAAGATGTGGTCAGGTTGGTGACGTTGACGTGCTGGTAGCCCTCGGTTTGCTGCTGGCACCAGGTTAAGAGCTTGCTGGGCCGGATGTCTAACTCTGCAGCAGGGGGAAACAGACAGTGGTGGACAGAGTCATGGAGCAGGTGCATCTGAGCCACATCTTGAGGAGCGTTGAGGGATTCATCAGACAGAAAGCATTCCAGGAAAACAGAAAAGGGCTGTGCCATGGAAGAATCTAGCAAGGTGGGGCAGGCTGTGTACAACAGGGGCGGCAGCAGTGGGGCATGCAGTGGGAGGGGGTGGGAGGGGATGGGAGGGGTTGGGAGGGGAGTCTGGTAAGGCTCCCCAGCGGCAGTGAGGAGGTGGGGTCTGGGCGGGCAACAGAGACCGGAGAGGTCTCTCGGCTGGACGGTGACCCAAGCAAGGCCGGACTGATTCTGGGGAGTTACTCATTTAACCATCCCTTCCCTCCACTAGGAAAAGTGTGCAGCATGTGGGGCCTGTTATCTAGCTGGGGAGACAAGATCCCCATACTGGAAATAACAGGGAGGGAAAAGCAAGGCGCAGTTCCACCATTCACTTTACTGTCCTAAGTGCTCGACACATATTCTCTCCTTTACAACCGATCTGCTGCTGGGGCTGTCCTTGTCCTGGTTTTACAGATGAGGAAACAGAAGGACAGAGGAGAGGTACCTGGCCAAGGTCACACAAGTCATAGCAGCAGAGCCGAGTGGGCTGCAGGGCCTGGGCCCCCATGGCCACCCTGCAAAGCGATCCCCCACCCTGCACCCCAGCAGCCTGGCCGAGGACCCGGGGCAGCGGCTTACCCCTCCTGGAGAGGCTCATCGATCTCCTCACCGAGCCCAGCCTCTCAAGAGGGCACTGGTGCAACTCCTTGGTGACATACAAATGCTTCACCTACAAGCCAAAGAGACCATGCAGCTGCCCACTGGGGTTTCCCTGAAGCCGGTCTCGGGGCCGGCCCGGCTTCTACTCCACGTCCACCACGCTTTTCCTCTCTCGCTGGAGGGCAGGCCTTTGGGCAAGGGGCCCCAGGGAACCTGAGGCGCGGAGCAACAGATCTCAGCTGTCCACCCAAACACGGGGGGACTCAAGTGTGAAAACACGCAATTGGCTGATTTTACAAACAGCAGGACGGGGTTTGCAAACAGCACAGCCAGAAGAAGTTGGCGGCTGTGGGTTCCTGAGTCAACAGGAGGAAATGCGGGAACTGGGAACTGAAAGGACTTGATGGCTGGCTGAGTAGACTCCGTGACAGAGGCATGCTTAGCGACACCGATGCACAGTGACAGTAAACACGTCAGCATGTGTGCAGATGAGGACAGACATGGCATCTGTTCTAGTTCTTTCCTGCGGGCTAGAGAGACGCTGACTCTCTGGTCTCTCGTGGCTCTCCTAGAGAGAAGAACTGGTCCCACATCAGAGCCAAGAGGCATCGGCGGCCACAGCCTTGGGCATGGGGCCAGGTTTTGGGGAACCTCCCACCCACCGGCTCAGGGCAGGGTGGCCCAGATGGGGCCCCGGGAGGGACTTACCTGATGGGGCCTGACACAATTGGAGTTGAGATTTGGGTACCGTGTCCCTGGGTCCAGCGTGTACTGCTCAAAGTTCTTGTTGATGTTCTCCGGGGTGGTCTGAGGTAACAGCCGGTAAAGACTTTCTCTAGGATGGGGCAGATCCCAGGCGTCAGGGACTGCTCTGGCAGCCTCATCCCCTCACCCCCTCACCCCTTCCCTGCTCTTAAGGGCCTCTTAGATGTGTCTGTGTACCTCTTCCCTGCGGCGCCTGGCCCCCGTGGTTCCGGAGACTCACAAAGTGGGGGACAGTTGAAGGGCTGGAGAGGGCGGGGGAAAGGGGTGTCCAGCAGCAGTGATGCCGGCCTCCTTCCCCTGAACAGAGGGCAGGGACACCAGAGCTGGTAGCCGAGGGACCTGTGGTTTTGCTATAACCACCACTCAGCCACGCTGCCTCCCGTGGCCTCCTGTCCCCCGTGACCACAGGCCTCCACACCCAAGACCCGTAGAGGCCTGCCCCCTACCATCAGTCTTGCCGTCTCCCAGTCTGCCAGCTGTTACAGCCACGGGGCCAGCAGCAGGGTCTGGGGGGGAGCCCTGGGTCTCAACAACAGCGGGAGAGGCCTGAGAGGTCAGACACCCAGCCCCCCCGCAGGGGAAGACAGCCCCACAGCCGAGGCTTCCCCTCAACCTCTTCCGCTCACAGTGCCTGGGCCGTGCTGGGAACCCCAACTTCGGGGTCACTCCAGACCAAGATTTCTCTTCTGCATTCAGGTCCTAAGGTCCTGGCCCCCAGAGAAGTCACGGGAGGAAGTAGAGCATGACACAGAGAGTTTCCCCGGGGATCCTAATGATCAAATCAGGCCACATGTGGGAAGGAAATGCAAGAGGACAGAGGCTCCAGGTTCATCCAGGCCAGCCCTGTTCCCTTTCCTGCCTGAGCTACACAACCAGTCCTGCCCCCAGCTGGAAGCCCCACTGTCAGTACTTACCTTTCAGCAAGCAGCTCCAGGGGAGGGGTGCCCTGGTCCCAGCTTTTCACCATCCAGGCTGTGTCAAAGGCTGCCAGGAAGCCTCGGGCACAACCTGTGCCCATGGGCCAAAATGGCTAGAGAAGAAAACATGCAAAATTCCAGTTGGTTCTCATGCCCACCCTCCCCGCTCCCCCAGCCTGCTACCCCATTCTATCCAGCACTCTGCTTGCTGAGCCCATGGACGCACTGGCGGGAGTGTGGGTGTGGTGTCACAGGAACAGCAAAACTGCTCTGGGGCTCAAACAAGGCATAGGCAAGTCCGTCTGTCCCCCCCACACACACCCCCACACCCCGGGGAGGGAGATGGAAATCAGGGAATGCTTCACAAAAGAGTTGCATTTATGCTGATTTTAAAGAACCGGTAGGCTTCTAATCTTGATCCCTTCAAGACTAGGGTGGGCAAAGGCCTGGTGGAGGAACGGAGCAGAGGAGCAAGAGAGGATGCTGAGAAGGGGCGGGCGGCAGCGGGGGCAGATCACAGCCCACACACCATGGTGAGCGAGGGCTGGTTCGCCAAGCTGAGTTCTAACTGAACTGTCCCATGGGCACCCAAAGCATGGTTTGGAATTTGACTCTTGGGATAAACAAACATTTTTTGGTTACTGCTTACTTTAAAGTTAAAAATGTAACCCTGCTGAAAACATTCGTTCAATCTAAGGATGCCTGCAGTTGCCGACGCTCTGGGAAGCATTTTGAGCAGGGAGGCCACAGATGGAAACCAGACTTTGGGGCCCACATGCCCTTTTGCCCCCTCTCCGATCTCCATGTTGCAAGGCCCCGGAAAGCTCCCCACATGAGGGAGAAGTTGTGGCCCAGCTGAAGGGGTACATGTTCTGAAGAAGGCCGCCCACCCTAAAGGGCAGGGCAGGGCCAACTAGTTTCATACTTCGACAAAGAGTTCAGCCCGAAGAGCCCAGAGCGGGGAAAGGAAGGCAGAATGAGCAACTCTGGGTCTGGTGAAAGGGCAGGCCAGGTGCAAGCCGGAGCCAGGATGGGCTTGGCTGACTCCGGCCTGCTGGCAGGCAGCCTGTCCTTCCCCTTGGCTGCACGACAGCAGATGCCGTTGGCCACACCAGAAATGCAGGGATCTATCTTCTACCGGGAATCGGGGGCGTTCCCAAATGCAGGCACTACCTCGAGCAAGCTGTCGCCCACCAGGGCCACGAGGAGCTGGTGTGACTGGCGCTCGCGCACCAAGGCCGCATTCTCTGAGGCGTACATGGAGGTGAAGTCAAACATGGCCACGTCAGGCTGCCCGTAGTGGTTCAGAGCAAAGTCTAATGATGGCAGCTGGTAATTGGTGGCAAAATCTGCGGCCTCACGGGCGTAGGAGAGCAGGTTGTCCTGGTTTACGTTCTCTGCACACAGCAGCATCTCCGTGTCGATGTAGTCCTGGGGAGAGAACGGGAGCCCGGTGCGGGAATCCGCCCCTGTAACGGGCAAGCCTTCATACCCATGTCTTTGCAAAAGGACTTGGAATGGGCTTGCATAGCAAAGCTAAGCAAAACAGAAAATCAGGGCCAAAGGAATCAGGAGGAACCAAATCAGTCATCTGTCAGGGTTAACAGAGCTGTGATTAGGCCTCACACTGGGCTTTGAGCTTCCTGGCATCCAAGGCAAAGGGGAAATGTGATCTATGGCAGGGCTTTCCTTATCAGAAAGAAGGAAGCGTAGAAATTCCTAGGGGAGGAAATTTTTTTCCTGGCACTAAATTCTAAAAGAACGGTCTCACGTAGGAATTTTGACAGAGGACATAGTGTTGTAATGACCAGCTTACTCAATAATGGTCTAGCGGTAAATGCAGGAGTGTATTTCCCATGGCTGGTTCTTGTGATAACTTTCAGTAAAATTAAAAGACAAGAGAGCAAGTAAGGAACAGTGATTTCTTAGTGGACTAAGCTAAGCTAACATGGTCCCGACATGCTGTGTTTAGTGGTCAAACAAGACCAGAAAAGACATGGGTGCTTGGCAGGGCTTGCAAACCTTCTCTCCAGAATCTGCTCTCCCTTTTCTTGAGAGGCCAGGGCTGCTCGGGGCTCTGCTGTGCTCTTACGGTGTTAACTGTACACTCCCCGCCGGAAGGAGGAGGGCCCTGGCTTAGAGGAGCAGGCCATCCCTCTCTGAGGGACCCTGGCAGCGACCTCAGGGACGCCTCCCAGAGTCTAATCTGCTCATCATATGGCTAAGAAGCTAGAAGGCTATCTTTCCCAAAACGTGACACAGAAAGCGCAGATCCCAAGGGGGGGGGGGGCGGAGGCGTGGGTGGGAACCAGTGTGTAAGACCAATGCAGGCCTTGGCATGAGGTTGGATTCCAGCTTTGCTGTTCACTGAGCAAACTTGGGCAAATTACTGAACTTTTTTGAGTTTCCATTTTCTCATTTGTAAAATGGGAATAACAAAATCCACTTCACACAGTGAGGACCAAAGGAAACCATAGACATAAAATCCCCAACCTCATGCCTGGCATGTGGGAAGTGCTCAGTGAAAGGGAATTTCTGTCCCCTATAATTCATGACGGCACAAAACACAGCGTCTGGTGAAGTACATTCCTGGACCCACCCAGGCACCACCAGGAGCATTTACAAAGGTCTTAGAAGGCACAGCCACATCTACAGAGTGACCCACTGTGTCAATTTTCCTAATAACCATGATTTCAAATATCGTGTTCCAGAAATTCTAACATGTTCACACCAAACTATATCACCCAGATCGCTCCCAGCATTGGCCCGGGAACCCTGTGTCAGCTGGTGGCGTTCAGGCTGGAGCTCCTGCCATTCTCTTGTCCTTTCTCACGCCTGTTCCTACAGTCACATGACCAATTCCCTCCCTTTAAAGGTGTGGAGAGGAGACGGGGAAGGGTGAATGGAGAGGTCTTGAAAACACCCCCTCTTCAAAGCATGCCACAGGTGGGCTGGCTGACGAGTGAGTGTGAGCACTGCACCGTGAAGGTCCCTGGTGCTGGTGGCCCGGACAGGAGCGCGGGGACCTGCAGAGGGAGCAGACCCCAGGCTGTGTTGGGCTGAGAGCCAACCTGGTCCAGGGCTGCTGGGTTGAGCCAAGGGACCTTGTCAGGCCCGAGGTTCCAGGGAAGTGGGCGGATACAGAAGCAGGGCCACGGGCATGGGGTGAGAACAAGGGCAAGGGACAGAAAGGAGGGAACGGCAGGCCTGGAGAAGGGAGTTCCAAATTAAGACAGAGGCAGGAGAATGAGGGTGGGGCCCACTTTCCACAGGCACAGGTACCGAAGAGAGGCTGTGTCCTAGGCAGAGAGGGGGACAGTAGAGAGAGAAGCAGCAGGAATAGCCCGGGTGGGGAATCTGACAGCAAGAAGAGTCGCCCCACGTACTGAGCTAAAAAGAAGGCTGGAGACCGGAAGAGAAGGTCAGCCAATGGCTTCCAGCGAGGGTGGGTTCAGCGTCGGGAGACCAGCTATGATGCGTGCTCACCTTGCCCACCTGGCAATAGCGCTCCCTCCCACAGTGGCAAGACCAAGCCTGCTGCACCCAGGAGCCCTAGCCTGTATGTATGTGGCCCAGCAGAGGCAGGGTCCTGGGGCAATGGGCCACCCTCCTTTTGTGACAGAGAGCAAGATGGACAGAGCGGGGAGCCCACAGGCATGGTTTCCTGAGGAGAAACGTCACTCTCCCTTCAGGAGCCACGGAAAGAAGCCCAGAGGTCAGGAGGAATAGATGGGGAAGCAGATCAGTCACTCAACACATATTTGCTCAGCAGCCTCTGTGTGCCTCTAGGAAGATGCTGACCCATGTGGGGAGAGGAAATGAGAGAAGATATGTCGTTCCTCCGGGAGCACGACAAGAATGTTAATTTGAGTGGCTTGGGTTAGATGGACCAGCTCCCAGCTATGCAAATGCCACAGAGCTTGGCTGGACACGGGGAGACTCAAGGCCAGAGCTCCTGAACCAAATGGCCGTCCAGCTCTCTCATGTCCGGCCTGGGGCCTATAATTTCTAGATGAGAATTCCTGTCTTATACCTAGAGGCCCCTCAGCACTGGCTCAGAAGATGCCCCCGGAGTCTGTGAGGGAAAGAAAAGCCTTGGTGAGGACACCCACAAGCCCGGGATCTGCTCCCAGCTCTTCCACAGTCATGACAGGTTCACAGTGAGTCACACTTGCCCACCTGTGCCGTGACAGAGAGATGAGGAGTATGATGGAGAGGCTTTAACAACTGCCCAAGAGCTGAGTCACCATGAGCAACATGTCTTGACCTGGACAAAGGCCCTGGGATGCCCTGAGGGAGCCTTGGTGTCCCAGAGGCTGGAGTACTCAGCCAGTGAAATAGGAAACCCACATCAAACTCTGCCTAACTCCCTGGGGGTGGGGTCAGGGCCTGACAAAAGCCTCCTCGGTCCCTCCTTTGCAGAGGTGCCCACTGTGCTGGCAGCCCTGGACCCCAAACAGTCCTTCACTGTCTGCCATAGGCCTCCCGATGAACGAGGCAACTTCAGGAGGGATGCCTGTGGAGCAGAGTAAAGAAGGAGCCACCACCCCCACCTCCCCCAGACTGCGTCAGCCACGGAGTACCAGACACTGAGACCCATTGCTCACACATCTGCTAGCTATGCTCAGTCAGCTTCTTCCAACCCCCGTCCCGCCCTTCACAGCCTCCTACCTGCAGCTCGGGCTCTCAGCGAGGACCTGAGCCGCATGGAGGAGGCCCAGGGGACGACTGGGTTACCCATGCCACCCAGCCAGCAGCCAGCACAAAGTGGCAAGAGGACAGGCACATTCTTCTCCGACAAGCAACAATGAATGGTCACCACGCCGCCCGGCCTCCAGGCTGACACCCCGAGAGCAGGCTGACCTCGGACGGCACCAGGCAGCAGCCGGGGCAGGAACAGAGGCTCTGGAAGGGTTGAAAACCTGACCAAAGAAGCTTCCGGCCCCGGGCCCCCAACTCCATGTGCTTTCTTCCAACTTGGTGCTCAGTTGAGGCATGAAGATGCAAAGGCAGGACACAGAGGCCAGGAAGCCAGCAGGACAAAAAAGCAGGTGTCCAAACCAGACAGTAAGTTATGCAGGGAATCTGTAAACTCCCCCTATATGGACCAGGTCTTGGGACAGTTGCTCTGTACGCATTTTCTCATTTACTTCTGCAAACAACCCTTTCAGACAGAATACATTATTTGGAGTCTCCAGAGAAGAAGACCGAAGTTCAGAAAAGCTGAGCAGCTTAGTCACAGTCCTGAGTTAATCTTCGACTGAGCCAAGATTCAAGCGAAGCCTTTCTGACTGCGAGAACAGAGAGCTCCCCACCACCCCATGACAAGAGGGCCACAGAGGGAAATTCACAAGCGAATGTTGTCTTAGTGCCCCCCTCGGACAAGGAGTCCCCATCGGCCTCCAAATGACGTGGGACCTCCCCGAAACAGGGACAGGGCTGAATGAGACGTGGGGAACGAAAAGACTCAGCCAATCTCTTGGGGGCAAAGGCTTACACGAACACCTGGGTGAGGGTCTCAGCCCAGCCCACAGCCCTCTGCAGAAACACGTCTGCGTGTAGTGGTGTGGGCTCCCTCATCCAACACTCACAGCAGCATGGAGGAGGAGAGTGGTGGGTGGTGGTTCTTTCCCACCTGCCCCCACCCCCTTGCTCAGTTTCCCGCGGGACAGCACCTACTCCTGCACTTGCTGGGTCACAAAGGGAAAGACAGGACATTGCAGCCAAGAGATACGTACATTAATGATGACACCTTTGTCAAGCAGGCTCTGCTTCTTGGCGGTCATGACAAAATAGTGGGTGCAGTCCTTGTAGTAAACAATGTTCTCAAGATCAATCCCTGCAAAGAGAAGCGTGCCTGGACTCAGTCTGACTCCCTCAGTGTCTCAGTGCCTCGCTGCATTACAGGTGTCATTACTTAACTGCATGTATTCAACGTTAGGCAAGTTTTTAAAACATACAAGGCTGGAAAAGATAAAACTAAGTGCTAGAATTTACCCAACTCCACACAGCTAGCTTTTGTTGTACCACAAAGACACTATGTTGTTGTTGTTTTTTACGGTTTATTTATTTATTTTAGAAAGAGAGAGTGCACACGCACGTGAGCAGGGGGCTCATGACCTGAGCCAAAATCAAGAGTCAGCTGCTTAACGGACTGAGCCACCCAGGTGCCCCAAAGACACTATGTGTTTTTTTTTTTTTTAAATTAAGATGTAATTGACATATAACATGGTGTCAGTTTAAGGTGTACAACATGTTGATTTGATATATTTATATATTGCAATATGATTAAAGCATTTAAAAAAAAAAAAAAAAAGGAAAACCTCAAAGTCTTTAGGGACTGTGGACCAGTATTTCCAAGCTAGAGCGAAGTGCTGCAGAAGGGCCAAGAGCTGTCTGGGGCATGGCAGCTAAGCAACAACAGAGCCAGGATTCGAACCCCAGCTTGTCTGATTCCAAGTGCCATCCACCAGGCCCTCCATGGGGCCAGAGATTCAAAGAGCTGTGGGAATTCTTTCAAGACTGTGCTAAGTGATGTTTCTACTATGCCCCCTGTGTGTGGGGAAACCCAGATGCCCTGGCAGGAACAACTCAGTTTAGAGGGCTGGGTTGTATAGCTTTGTACTTCCCAGCAATTGCAAAAACACTTCATAGGCTATGTTTCTGCATTAAAAAAAAAATGCTATGAGAGCTTAGCTCAGTGGTTCTCCAAGTGGCCCCCCCTCCGGCCAGCACCATCAGCATCACCTGAGAACCTAGAAATGCTAATGATCAGGACCCCATCCTGGACCTAGTAAAGCAGAAACTCTGAGGGTAGGGCCAGCAATCTGCACTTTGACGAGGGGATTCTGATGCACGTGTCAGTTTGAGAACCACTGGCTTAGCTTCCTCAAAGGGAGAGAAAGGAACAGACACATAACAACCTATCAGCAGTTGACAAGGGCGTCCTGGGTAACCATAGGAACCCCTTTATTACCGTTAAATAGGAAACAGCCATCAAAGCAGAGGGCCCCCCAGAGAATGGGAGGAAATTCATCGTTGTCACCTTGTAAGGGGCATGGTGAAACAATGGCCAAGGGTGACCACCCCAGCGAAATTTAAAGGAAACTCATTGAAACATTTGGAAAAACACACTCAATGTCCTGTCATAATTCAGATTTGGTGATTTGTTGAAGTATTTATCTTTTCAGTTTTTGAGAGGAAGGGAGGGTTGGACTAATTCTTAAATCATTCAGAAGAGCATAACACGCTGGAAGAAAACGCTCTAATAAAATCGTGCCACTGTGGTGAAACTCAGAGGGTCACACAATGAGCACATGTCCTCGTGGCCAGAGAGCTGCCCAGTCTGCTCCATAAGGAATCCCATTCCTAGAAAACCAAATGGAAATATTCCAGCAGGAGCAGTTTGCTCTCTAAGGGTAAGTAACTGAAAGGTCTTAAGTCAGAGGCCAGCACACGTTTGCCATAAAGGGCCAGACAGTACGTATTTCGGGCTTTGCAAGCCATCCAGGTCCACAACCACTCACGGGCAGTGACATGCATGAACAGGCGTGGCTGTGTTCCAATAAGCTTTCATTTATGGACCCGGAAACTTGAGTTCCATATAACTTTCGATGTGTCAAAAAATATTCTTCTTTTGCTTTTTCTTCAGCCATTCCAAACTACTGAAACCATTCTTAGCTTGAAGAGAATACGGACCCATGTGGCCAACCACAGTTTGCCAGCCTCCAATGTAGACACTCAGGCAGTGACAAACATCCGGTTCCTGAGCTATTCTGCAGCCTGCAAAACTGACCATCGGAAGGACTGCAATATGGACAATATTTACAATGCGATGCCGAATGAGAAAACCAGAATCACAAAGAGTACTAGCGCTCTGCTAAGAGCTGGAACCATGTAAAAAGGGAGGGTAACAGGTGGACGGTTACTGAAAAGCAGTATATGGAAATGAGGACTATTTCTGTGTTAGGTTGACGGTGAGTGTGGATGATTTATTTCTAGCATAAGAATTTTAGGGGCGCCTGGGTGGCTCAGTCGGTTAAGCGTCCGACTCTTGGTTTCAAGTTAGGTCATGATCTCAGGGTCGTGGGCTCGAGCCCCACGTCTGGCTCCACGCTCAGTGCAGAGTCTGCTTGAGGATTCTCTCTCCCTCTCCCTCAGCTTCTCCTTCCCCCTGTTTCTTCCCTGACTCACACTCTCTCCCTCAAAATAAATAAAATCTTTAAACAAATTTTTATTTAACACTTGTCACACTGCCTTTCAAGGAGAGATAAGATTTTAAAATCAGGTTAAAAGAAAAATCTGGAATTTACTTAATTGGCAGCGAGGTGTCATCCCTCTTTCTCCTCGCCGTGCTTTACTTCTCTCCATCATCTTTCTGACTGCCTGACGTGCTAGTTATTTGTTTACGGACAGTCTCCCCCCAACAGAATATAAGCTCCAAGAGAGGGGTCTTGTTTTGCCCACTGCTCTTTCTCAGACCCTTGAGCAGCATCTGGCACCAAGTAGGCAGTCAATAAATATTTGTTGAGTACATGAATGAGTATCTTCGAAAGATACTCAAGGCCCATGGCTAGGGGACAACTGATGCCCTGGGGTGAGCACATGTTTCCTGGGCATCCCTGGAAGTCCCTTGTGGGGAAGGACAGCTGGTACACTGAACTAAAACACCTACACTTTTTCAGGGACCAACCCAGGGTTACTGGTTCCCTCCTCAGAGGGCTCCCTGAAGCTCACGCTGCCTCAGGCACAGACCGACCTCCCTGCATCAGGATGCTTTCCCTGGGTGTCCATCACTGGACAAGGAGCCATTTGGGGAGGGGACGATGTCAATCTCAACTTTGTATCCCATGATACTGAATACAAGCACACAATGAACATGTTGACTAAATGCTGAGTAAATATATCTTTATCCATTTTTATGTACAACATCCAGAACTTGCCCTTGAGAAGCTCTTTCATCCTTGAAGGAACGCTGCCCAGTTCTATCCTATGGAGAAGTCCCTGCTTCCACTTAATCAGAGTGAGTCTCCCAATCCCAAGAGCTGGGAATGCCCAGCACGGACAATGGCCTGGTTTGGAGAAAGGTGAAGGTCCCACCTGTTTCTTCTTTAAGGTCCTGAAAAAATTTCTGGTTGAAGATGAAAGCCACACCACTGATCTCTTCCACCTTGGCCTCAGCTGTGCTGTTTCTGTTTATGAAGTTGGCAGTGATGGCAATAGCCAACTTCCCACGGAATTCTTTCCTTCTGAACCCTGCATGAGGAAAAAGGCAAAAAGGGAGTCTTTCTTCTGCATTTGGTGTGAAAACTGAGTACGATTATGGAGGAAGCTGTTCTCAGATGCCTCACAGGCCAGTGAAACCAGAGTTCTGCTTCTCTGGAGAACAGGGGCAGGCAGAAATGCCAAGGTTCGTACCTGAGGAAGAAACACATCACCAGAGGCCTCAGTCAGGGGGACTTTCTCCTCTCCTAAAATCTACAGGACCAATTATTCTGGTTAGGCTTCTACAAACAAAAGGCTAAAGTGATTTTCCCAGCAGGCTCATCCTGCTAAGATTTGCTAGGCACTGTTGCTAGGTACACCATGACACGTGAACTTTGAACTTCTACGATTCAAACTAGGTTGTCAGCATTTTTCATGTTTTTCTCCCTTTGAAAAGTAGGATTATGAGACTGAATTCCTGTGGGATGGGGATTTTAACAAATTTTCTATTTCTAGTCTCCAGTGATTGGCGCTTTAGTCCACACTCAGTAAATATATAATGAGTAGACAAAAGTCTAACTTGCAATTGATTTAATACAATGATTCCTTGGGGTTCTTCTAGTTGTTAATGGTTTACATTAAAATTGATTTTCAATGGTGGTGACACAGAGGATCCCAAGCAGGTGGTCACACTTCAGTGGAGCATCTTCTGCCAATCCCCTTTCTTTCTAGCATCTGGCTATCCCACAGTCCTGAATCTTCCCTCTGCCCCACTGTTGTTTACTTTGCTTAACTCAAGGCTCTCATCATAAGGGCAGGCTCTCTGGACATGCCTTTGTCTTCAGCCTCCTCTGGGAACTCCCCCTACATTTGCTCACCGCACACTCAAACCTCATGCTGATTCCCAAACTTCTCTGTCAATACTCCCTTTGACTAGAAACCTTGAGGTTTTTCTCAATACCTCCTCTTTAAGTCATTCTTCATTAGATTTTATTGAAATGGTCAGAAATGGCCATTATTGTCTAGTCTAGTATTTCTTAACTGGGAATGACCTTGGCCCCCAGGGGGCATCTTGGCAAAGTGTGGAGACATTTCTGGTTGCTACAACTTGGGGGGTGCTACTGGTGTCTAGCGGGGAAAGGCCAGGGATGCCGCTAAGCATCCTATTGTGCACAGGACAAAGAATGATCTGGCCCCAAATGTCAACAGTGCCAGTATAGAAAAACTCCCAGTCTAGTCTACTTATTTGGTGCTAAGCGGCCTAAATGGCTCTGCTCCTTCTCACAGCTTCTTTTCCTGTCCATGATATGCCTAACTATACTCAGGCAAAGTGTGGATTTTGGATTGGAAAATATTCAGACTTACAATTTTACCCAACCACCAAAATGGCCCCATAAATTCCAACAGCACAACACCCAGGTTAGCAGCTTAAAAAAGTCTTTGTCAGATATGGGTTATTGATTGCAGGGGTCGGGCAAGTGTAAGGATGGAGGAGAAGAGAGAGACGCGAGAGTGGGGAAAGGGTCCTGGTGGCACAGCAGGTGGGGAGGGCCCAGCTAGGCAGCCCACACCTCCCGATTCCGCCAGCATCAGCCCTCTTTCCGGGAGTGTGTTCTGTCCTCAGACGATGTGCCCTCCCCACCAGAAATCCGCAGCCTGCAGCCCTTGAGGGAGGCAAGCTTGAAGAGCAGATAGCCACCAATCTGAGAGAGGCCGTGTGGGACCACTTTGCCCATAATCTGCAGTCTCGCCTTCATACAGTTAGCACCAATTAGTACAACCTCTGCGTCAATTAATCTTTCGGGGAGGGGCTAGGGGATTGAAGACATTTCTGGCAGTGGCGCTCTTTTCCCAACCTGACCAGATCTTACTCCAAGAAAACATGTTATGCTTCCAGCTCCAGAACTCAGAGAAGCAGGGTTTGGCACCTTGACAGTCTGGGAAAAGCTTATCTTACTGCCCAGCGGTGAGTGTGCTTAAAAGTTACAGAAGAGACGGGCTCCTCCTGCTGGGGTATTACCCGTGACGGGACAAGAAGGCCACGGGGAGTCTAAGAATGGCTGTCGTAGCTAGATGGAGTAAGTGGGAAAGTGCTGAGTTACCACAGATTCATTGACAGGCACTCAATAAATGCATACTGACTTTCAGTTTCCATGGCACTTTACCTTTATAAAGCATTTTTACATACAAGTCCTTTCCTAGCCCTCATGACAATGCTCTGAGGAGGTTCTCTTACCTACATTTTACAGATGGGAAGCCTGACGTTCGGAGACCACGGAACGCCTGCCCTCTGAAGGTCCAGCCTCAGGCACGGCAGGACAGTCTGCCCTTCCGTCAAGGCCCCCACCCAGCTTTGGCACCTGCCATCTTACCCCCATTCTCCAGCCCCCCCCCCCCTCCCCCGCCCCCCCCCCCCCTCAGTTCCCGGAAGAAGAGTCTTCACCTTCCAGTGTGTTCCTGCGGCCGTCGGCGCCAATGATGACGTCAAACTCAAAGTCCGACAGAGAGTGGTCCGCAGGGAGAAATTCTGCCCGCCATCCGATCTCTGCCAGAAGAGAAAAATGATTTGAGTTGGCAGAGAAAGGTGGGAGGTCCCTTCAGTGTTGGCCGGGGAAGAGGGGATACTATCACCAGGTGGAGGCACCCCAGACAGAGCTGCCAGAGGAAAGACCCAGCATTATCCTAAATCACACTCTCATCTGGAGTCCTTCTGGCTTTAATAGCAGTTCAACCCAGGACAAGGTAAACCAGCAGCGCCCACCCCCTGCCTGATTTAACTGGTTTCTCTAAAGGCTGGGAGCCTATCCTCAATGATTCTCAGGCCAGTCTCACTCGAACCCTGTTTGTCTCAGTGTGTTCTATCATGTTCTCTTCAGAGTCCCCTCTATTCCTCCTTGCCCTCCTGTCACCAACCAGACCCGAAGGACGTGCTGGGTGTCACGAAACCAGTTTGGCTTCCCAGTTCATTATGCTCGAAATGTTCTGATGGGCAGCACACAGCCTTCGATGAGAACATTTCCAGGTAACAGCTTGCTGGTCACCCAGAATTGGGTCTGAGAAAGGCGAAGGGCACACGTATCTCTGGAAGTCCACTAACAGATGCTATCCTGCTACAAAAGCCACCGAAGGCCTCTCCTCCATTCTGAAATATTCTGGGCAGAGGACAGGAGAGGTCAGAGTCGTAATGAACCCACAAAGCTCTGAGGTCTCCGACACGAAGCTGCCCAAACCATAAGCCCTGCCCAGGCAGCAGCAGCTTTCGATAAGAAATAAGCTGCAGAGGCATCATGAACAAACTCTGACCACGGTGTGTGTGACTTCAGCATTTACATAAACATACTAAAAGGAAAAAGAGCAATGTGACTAAAGAAGACATACCCACCATGGGTGAATTTTGTGGTTTGTAAATTATGCTTCCGTAAGGCTTCAGAATATTACATACCAAATGATATCACGAGCACTTCGTGTTTGCTCTAGAAGCTTCACTTTTTTTTTTAACTAGGTTTGAAAATATCACGTGGGTACAAGTGTAGCCACATGTCCGTGTGTGTTCCCACGCAGCCTGAAGAGCATAGGACTGAACTTCATCAAACAACCGAATCTAGGTCTTCTATCCTAATTACCTATTACTTTGTCAAAGTACCACCTCCCACCGACAGGGTAACCAAATTATAGGTTTAATGACTTTATAAATCCCCTGGGAGGAGAAGAGCAAACCTAAAGTGACAGCGTTGGTCAGGAAAGGTAAAACATCCTCTGAAGGAATCAGGCCCAACAGCTCCCGACAAGAATAACTCTTATAGGAACATTCTTTGAGAGCTGCAAATGTGATTTCCATTTTGCAATATCTGATTTCTAGACATAAGAGGAAAATTATACTGTACTTTGATTTTCTTGATCTTCAGGAGGCTCTAGAACCTTTACAAACTCCACATTCACATGGATTTCAACTCCCAGCATCAAGGCCACCTTGAATAGGATGAGCTGCAACTGACGAATGCCTGTTAGAAAGGAAGGGGGAAAGAGAAGAATTATCAGTAGCAATGCTTGAGTGCCTCCTGTATGCAGAGTACTCTATAATCGTCACTCAATGGACTCTGAGCAGAGCAATGTTCCAACAATGATCACGAATGAGAACTAATTATGTGCCAGCTACTCAGTGTTTTCTCGTTTAACCCCCCTTACCGTGACCCTGCGGGATAATTATTCCCATTTCACAGATAAGAAGTTGAGGCTCAGTGAGGTGAAGTGACTTGCTCAAGGTCATACAGCAGCAAAACTAGAATGTGGACCCAGATCTGCCTGATTCCAAGACTGTGCTCTAGCTTTTAGAAAATGCTATCATGATGGAGGCTCTCCCTTTCCTGCCTCCTCCCTGAGACAGGCTAGAGGTCTGACGAGGTAAAGACAGAAAGAGGAGTAGACCTAGAGAGTAATGGCCATAAGTAAAGTCAGTGATGAAATGGGTCATTTTGTGGAGGACTGAGCTTAAGCTCTTAGCCATCCAGGGTCAGTGTCAGGAGGGAAATTCTCTCCACAGAGCTGGACTTATGGTAATTCGCCTTGTACCCACTCCCTAAACTCCCCTGATGAGTGTCACCACCTCGTTTCTCTACCTCGTCCCCAGCCATTCAGCACACATGGGCATGCCTCCAAATATTTTTCTGTAGAAACTTTCTGTGGGTCCCTCTGTATTTCATGGGTTTTGTTCACTTAACATGTATTGAGCATCTACAATGGTCCAGGTGCCATGGTAGGCACAGAGACATAGAACTCACTCTAGTGGAGGAAATGCAGGTGGACAGACCAGGGCAGGCCACAGTGGTCAGGGGGCAGGGGAGTGACAGAACAGGGTCTGAGCTGCGGTCCCGGAAGCCAACAGAGCACCAAATCCCATGGACAGATCAGGGATTATGACAACTGCAAGAGGCTGGGAGTTAGGAGGCTTCTGGGGGTGGCAATCTCAGTGAAATCTCCTTCACAGGGGGTGGGGAAGAAGTCAGATTGCAATGGAAGGGAGCATGAATGGGACACACAGACCAAGTCTACACCCCCTCTTTCTACAGGAACCCGGGAGGGAGCAGAGTGGAGCTGAGCCTCAGACATGGGGCGGGGGAGGGAACAAGTACTCAGGTGGAGGCCAGTGCAGGAGGACAGAGAGGGGCTGGGGCTGGGAGCGCCCCCCAGTGGCTCCTCCTCCCCAGAGCACAGGAGGAAGGCCATCTGCTCAGAAGGAGGAGGCTGTGGTGCAGGTTTGGAGCAGCCTCATGGGAACTGGAGGTGGATGCTGACACGGGACAGTTGGGAACTGCTGAGCCATGCTGGGGGCGAGGGCAAAGCCAGGGCTGCAGACCAGGGTCAGTCTGAAACGAAGCCAGTCAGCTGGGGCTTAAAGAAGCCAATCCCCCTCATGCCTGGAAACAGGCCTAGGCAGCGGCCTGGACTCTCCTCATCATTTCAAGGTTTCTAATTGATCTTGTTCCAGCACACGGGAGGTGTTCAATAAATTCTCCCTGCCTCCCTTCCCACAGGCTACGGAACTGCTCTTGACAACGAGCGCCCTGAACATCAGAATCTCAGATCCAGACTCTTGCCAGTGTTTCTGCACACCGGGATTTTTCTGAGAACTAGGGGTTAAATGGGAGCCCCATCGATGCGGGCAGAGGGGGGCTCCCAGCCAGCAGGGAAGGCAGCCCAACAGATGGGGGTAGTACCCTCGTGCCCAGCTCTGCCTCTCAGGAGTGCCCGATGGGAAAGTGGTGCTCAATGTTGTAGTTCCGAATTGGGCACTAATATACATTCTTCTGTGAGTGGTAGACAATATCCCGAAAGCTGACACTGCAGCCTTCTGGGCAAACCCAAATTTCTTTCCAACGGACTCCTGGAATTTTCTCATGCCAGAGTGGGAATAAAATCTGGGGCCACTGCTGATAGGTCCCCTGTACCCATGACTAAATTACACCCTATGTGGCTGCCCACCTTCTCCAGTCATTCCTCTGAGCCCCACGCCCTTTCCCGTGGTTCCTGTCTGCATGAGAACATGGCTAGCAGGGCTCTCCTCCCATCCACAGGTTGGGAGACTGCAGCTCTGACATCTGAAGCTGGGGACCCTGCTGCCTCTTGCCCACTGCACACCAATGGATGCAAAGCACTTCCCGAGTACCTACTACCTGCCAGCACAGCGATAAGCACATCACAAACTTGACCTCACTTGATCCCCTCAGGGGTCCTGGGAGGCAGGCATTCATCCCATGTACGGGAGACAAAACTTGGGGCCTGCAGAAGGTAAGGAATTTGACCCAACTCCCACAGCAAATGGGCAAGACAGATTTGGGGCCCAGATCTGTCCAAGACCTTGAACTCTCCCCACAGTGTTAACCTCCTTGACTTTTATGGGACACAGTTTTCTATACTAAATGGCTAAAGACCTCCTCCCTGCTCAGCCCAAGAGGGAAGTCTGTTCTCCCACAGCCTGTCTGCACAGATCTTGCCTGGAGACCCAGGCTGGAGTAACACAGAGCAGAAGGGCCTCAGTGCTCCCCAGAGCGTACTCGGCGTGCAGGGCTGGCCCAGAGCCTGAAATCCATGTTTTCTATTCCCCACTCCTTGTCTGGGTGAACCCCTGTCATGATGACCTCTCTTTTTAGAACTCAAGGAAACTTGGTACAGGGCCTGTCAATTGTGTCATTCCTCTGTTCTAAAACCTGCCACGGTTTCCCCCAGAACTGGCAGCACAACGTCCAAGAGGCGCTCGACACTCTGGCCCATTTCATGGTTTTGTGTGCCTCCCTCATTGGAACTCCTCCAGCAAGTCTGACAACTCTGTTCATGCGCAGTTTATTCCTGACAAAATCTCAGTGAGCCCCCTCTGAGAGGGCAGACCATGCTATACTACTGATTCTGTGTCCCATATTTCATCCATTCATCCAACAGAAGTTGACTGAGCACCTACTATGTGTCGAGCGCTCTTCTATGCCCTGGAGACACTCTGGGGAACAAGGCACACCGCAGGCCCCGACCTCATGGTGCTTACATGGGCCCACGCAGCACAGAGCCAGCATAAGGCACAAAGCAGGCCCTTCACGAAATGTCTGCCGGCTGAATGTATGGATCCCCCAGGGACATGTAAGCTGGAACATCCTGGAACCTCCTCAATATGGAGAGATGTGCCCCACCCAGGGTCAGCCCTGTCCCTGAATGGGGTGCCATCATTGGCTCTACTCACTGATATGGTCGATGGAGCCAGCGCAGAACTTTCCATAGAACTTCTTGGCTCCCAGGCCCCGCAGGTCATGGATGGTGAAAGGCCAGAGGTGCAGCACATTGTTCCTGGAGAAGGTGTCCCTCTTCTCCACCACAACCACTTTGGCCCCCAGGTAGGCAAGTTCAATGGCAGTGCGCAAACCACATGGTCCTCCCCCAATGATGAGACACTGCAGAAGTCAGAGAGGAAGAGAGACATTCACTGACCTCTAGCACTGTGGACACCAACCCCTCGTCAACAGCTAATTGGTCCACTCAAATCAACCAGCAAGTACAAACCAAGTACCTGTTAGGATCTGCCATTCATCCACCCAAGGTACCTTACCTGTGGGCCTAACCAGGCACCGTGCCAAACCCTGGGAGGGACACAGAGGTACAGGGACTTGGGGCGGGGCATGGAAAGATACACTTGAGGTTCTGAGCCAGACGAACCTGGGTTTAAACCCCAGCTCTGGCATTTAACCTCTTAGCTTCCTCATCTGTGAATGGGTCTACTACTCTTTCCTCATAGAATTATCGAAAATAAGACTGCTTTTAAAAAGCTTATGGTGCATCACCGTGACCTTAGATTAAGCAATGGTTTCTTAGATGTGATACCAAAAGCACAAGCAACAAAAGGAAAAAGAGAGAAACTGGACTTCATTCCTAAAACCTTTTGTGCTTCAAAGGCAACCATAAGGAAGTGAAAAGATAGCCTACAGATGGGGGAAAATAGCTGCAAATCATAAATTGGATAAGGGACTAGTATCCAAAATATGCAAAGAATTTAACAACTTAATAATAAAAAAAGGCGACCCAATTAAGGAACAGGCAGATAATCTGAATAGAAATTTTTTTCAAATAAGATATACAAGTGGCCAAAAAGCACATGAAAAGATGCTCAGTGTCATTAGCCATCAAGGAAATGCAAATCAAAGCCACAATGAGATACCACTTCATATCCACTAGGGTGACTATAATCAAAAAGACAGACAAAGATAAGTGTTGGCAAAGATGTGGAGAAATTGGAACCCATGTAAAATGGTACAGATGCTTTGGAACAGTTTGGCAGTTCCTCAAAAAGTTAAACATAGAGTTGCCAAGTGAGCCAGCAATTGTATTCCTATGCATAAGCCCAAGAGAAATGAAAACATATGTCCACACAGAGACGTGTACATGAATGTTCATGGCAGCATTATTCATTATAGCCAAGAAAAACAGAAACAACTGAAATGTCCATTAATTCATGTACACACAAAATATGGCATATCCATACAATGGATTATTCAACTCTAAAGAGGAATGAAGTACTGAGATATAGATGAACCTTGAAAACGTCATGCTAAAGGAAAGAAACCAGACACAAAGGGACATAGATGGTATGATTCCATTTACATAAAATGTCCAGAATAGGCAAATTCATGGAGACAGAAAGTAGATTAGTGGTTGCCAGGGAAGGGGGGAGGGGAGTGGGAAAGGTTTCTTTTTATGGCGATATTTTAGAATTCAGTAGTTGTGGTGGTTGCACAACTTCGTGAATATATTAAAACCACTGAATTCTATACTTTAAAAGGGTGGTATGTGAATATGTGGTATGTGGTATGTGAATTATATCCTTATAAAATACTTGTATGAGAAGAAAAAGCACATGTTATGGAGTTTGGTACACACTAGTGTAGACGCTCTCATTCTCGTCACTGAGACCCAGTCGCTATCTAGGGACTCTCCGTCTAGTGGCAAACTCAGACTTGTGGGATAAGAAACCAGAACTCTTTGTGGTTGGTTCGATGAGGGGCACAGGTGAAGAAACACTGACTCTCCTGATAAGCTGGAAAGACTACACAGAGCAGGTCTTTAACAAAGACCACCATCACCACCGTCCTCCTCCTCACCCTCACCATCACCACCGTCCTCCTCCTCCTCACCATCACCATCACCATTGTCCTCCTCCTCACCATCACCACCGTCCTCCTCCTCACCATCACCACCATCCTCCTCCTCACCATCACCATCACCACCGTCCTCCTCACCATCACCCTCACCATTACCAGAGTCTGCACCTGTTGAACACTTACTACATGCCAGACACTCAGTTTACGTGCACCATGTGTTTTAGCTCTTAGTCCTCACAACACATCGGAGAGGAAGAAACTATTGTTATCCTCATTTCACAGATGGGAAAACTGAGGCACAACACAGTGAGGTAATGGGCCCCTGCTTTCCCAGATCCAGAGGGACAGAACCAGGACGCAGACCCAGGTGGTCTTACTCCAGGGCCCGTCATGCTGTACTATTACTTCTGTCCTAATTCTGACAGGAGTAAAAAGAAGAAAGAACATTTCAGCAGAGGGCTCACCCATTCAAAAAGAAAGAAGTTCTGGGTTGATGGAGAGGAGGATACTTTGGGAGAAGGGAAAGGAAGGAAAGGAAAGAGATGAGGGTCAGTCTGGAGCCAGATGCTGAAGGTCCTAAACACCAAGTGAAGGACTACGATCTTGGTCCCGCAGACACTGGGGCCATGGGGAGCGGAGGCGACAAAACCAGATTCTATACAGGTCTCACACTAAGTCTCAATGCACACTGCAATGTTGAGCAAGACAAGGGTCCTTCCCCAAGGAAGCTACAGCCCTATTAGGAGAGAAGGGACAGCATGGAATGACCTAACCGGCTGTTCTGGGCAAAGCCCTTCTACGTAAACAAAGTCACCAGCACCGTGTAAAGACAGAGGGAAACGGCAGTGTTCTGGCTGAGAGAGTCAGAGACCCCTGTGCCGCACCCGCCCTACCCCCAGGCAGCCCCTGCAGCACCTTCAAGAGGCCAGAGTCGCCCTGGGGCGGGGTCTAGATCCCTGAGGATACCCCAGCAAGGCAACAGGGAAGGAGACCTACACCCACACCACACTGCTCAACATTGCAGAGGCATCTGGGAACTTTTCCTCTGCTCAGGATCAAACCTTATCTTTAAAAAATGCATTTCTCTTCCCCTAGCAAATATTCCGTCATCCAGTTATCACTCCTCTGGGGCCTCTGGGGTCTCCAAGGGAAAGTACAAACAAGCATATCAGAAACTCCCACACCACAATCAGTGTGGCTTACTGGCTGGAACCTTCCAGGGAGTTTGTGGAAACCCCATTAGGGGAAATGAAGTCACTGCTGAGATACAGCTCACTCCAGAGATGTCGGGGAGCGGGTATGCAAATCCTTTTGCCTCCTTTCTCGTTGGAGCAGACAGGGGAGGACCACTCCTTATCTCACACCCCAAACAGCAACTCTGGTTTGACATAGCCAGACCATGACGGGCATTTCAAAGGAAGATTCCAAGCCCTGACACTCTGAGGTTGCCTTTGGGGTTAAGCCTGGATTCAATGCATTTCTTTGCAGTTAGTGCGTCTTTTCCTGTTTGCTGAGTCCTGTCACTCCAGGGCCAGGGATGGTGCGGGGGTGGGAGGATGTGGGGGGGGAAGAAGGGCAGGAAGAGAAGGAGGGGGAGCTGTCCTGAGTCCTTCTGTCCACCAGGCCTAACCCCGCACTGCTCCTGGAGCAAGGCACGAGCTTCCTTTCCCACCCGTTGGGGGGCTGCAGGGCAGTTTTCATGCTGACAGTAGCCGGCGCACCGTTCCCCACCCTCCCAGCTGAACCTGAAACCCCACTGGCGAAAGCTGTTTTCCCACCGCTCTGGGCCCCAGCACATACTTTGGGCCTGAAATTTCCGAGACGCCAGTCACACTGTAATCTCAAGTCAAAGCAAATACCTAATTATACAAAGGGAGAAAATTTGGTGCAGATGTTATCAAGACAGGAGAGAAGGCTTGCTGGCAGGAGCCAGGCCACTTCTCTTGGAACACACTTGTTATGATTAACCTGGGAACTCAGAATTCTGAGCAGATGCCAAAAACTACAGCTGCCAGGGGCCTGGGCAGAGGACAGGAGAGAAGGCGGCCGCCCCCAGTGTGCCCACAGGTGATGCTCTGGATGGTGGGCTCAGTACAAACAGGCCACAGGTGCAAAGGGTTGTGATAACTCAACCTGAAAAAACTCCACATTTCCCACACCCGTCTGGGCTCTCACTGCTGAGGATTTGTTGTCAAGGAAAGAAAACTTTTCATTAAAACTCAGCCTGGAGGCCTTCCTTGAGCCCCAAATTACACTGTACATTCCGTCCACAGGTTCTGTCCTTAATGCTACCCCAGAACTCAGCTCTGTGTGTTGTAATAACCTGCATCTGTTTCCCAGGACAGCGGGAGTGACCCTCAAAAGCTGTCCCTGTGTCCTCCGCACTTCTGCGTGCTCAGAGCCCAGTACGCGGCCTGGCACACGGGAGGCCTCAGTAAACAGCTGATGGATGAATGAACTTCCCACACCCTCCGCCGCCCGCCCAGTTCTGGCTCTCCGTCAGTCACTGGGATGTTCAGCTCATGTCAGCCAGGGTTTACGTCTGCATTTCCCACCCAGAAGCGGGGGAGCTGGGGTCTGCCAAGGCCACCAGCATCATGGACGTCAGCAGATCAGTGTGCTCAGGCGACATAAATTTATGACCCAGTGGGGAGTGGGGCAGATCCAACACCAGCAGGAAGTCCAGTGTATAGATAAGCCTGGCGGTGCTCAGGCCCCCCGTTCATGGAGAGACAAACACCACATGGAAACATCAAGGGGTGGGAAGAGGAGACAAGGGGACTAGCCCACGGTCAAAGGCACAGATGGTGGGTCAGGCCCACAGCTGGGGCAGCCTCGGTCACACAGGGCTCTTGCACCACCCAGGAGGAGCCCCACAAGCGCTCCCCACTTCTTGATGACCTGGTGCAGCTTCCAATCCACAAGTGGGTGGGTGTCCTAGGACTGTGCCAAGAATGTGAAAGGTATTCGGTCCCCAGAGGGAAACCCCAGGGGACCAGGGGCTAAGCCAGGGGTTAGCCGTCCGGAGACTTGGTTCCTGCTCCTCAACTCTGCCTCCAGTTTCCTGGGGAGCCGTGTGTGCAGACATCCCTGGGGGGCGGGGTACAGAGAGCCAGCACCTGCAGGCAGCAGGCAGACCAAGGCCTGCCGTCCATTAACGGGCCGGCCTGGCACTCAGCACCTTGTTGAAAAGGAGGATTACAGTATGTAAACTGTATCATGCCCAGAACTTTCTAGGTGCCAGGCGCCGTCCCAGTCACATCATGTATTGCGTCCTGCCCATGGCCCTCTGAGGTCCG